AGTCTGTTTAAGGATACTGTCTTCTTTAAACACGCCTGCTCTATGCCCCTTTGCTTTTGAGCATTCTGGTTAAAAAAAAAAAAATCTTTGTATTTTAATTTAGAATATAAACACTAAAGTTAAAATAACTTTTTAATGTTAAATATAACTATTTAAAAGTCATAACTGTATTGATAGAGTTAAAATGACATTCTCCTGGGTTACAAAAAGCAAGGCTATTCTTTTTTTTTTTTTTTTTTTTTTAAAGTACTGTCTTTAATTCACTATTTTCCAATTCAGTCAATAAATCTGACCTCACATTTTCAAGTTTGTCAGGTAGTCAGAGATTAGGCTGGTTTCTGCATCTAGGACTTAATTAATGATATGTACATGCTTAGAGTATGTGTTTTCTTTAATACGTAATATAAATTTGTTTTTCCTCTCTTTCCTCATTAAATTGTAAATCTTGTTCAGGGCAGGCTCTGCATTTCCTACTTCCTTTATCAGGCTGCACATTTGAAAATATGTTGTCCTCTTCCATCTGAATTGTTGTGTCTTTGATACCTCAAAGAGGTTGGTAGCAGTTCTGACTGATACTTCAAACTCATACTTCTTGTGTCAGAATATAGAGCTTGCTTTTTAATGATATCAAGGCCCACCTAAGGCAAAGCAGAGGCTTTTGAACCAATCCCTTGCCGAACTAGTAAAGAAGAGATTTTTCAAACTTTAATTTTGGAAAAAGGAGATAACTATAATCTCTGCCAAGATGCTCTGCAAAGAATTTATGAAGGAATCTCTAGAACTTGATTCTGCTTATTACATAGGCAGAGAGGAGTTAAAGATGTCAAAGCTATTACAGCGATTCAGCCATGTTCTGTTTATCTGTAAATCTAATAGTGTATGTAGTTTAAACTCTTAAAATTCTGGAATGTTTATTTTGTTTTATTCATTGTCTTGAGAGGAGCAAAAGGAAGTGAGAGGGCATAGCTTTGAAGAACTGGCAATTTGGCGACTTCTTTCCCTTGCCGCCCCTCCCCCACTATCTTAGCTATTTGACCTGATTAAACAGCTTTGGAATGGTAGCCAGACTTCTGTATGCTAACGAGGCCCCTGCCTTATTCGCGATTTAATGTGATTTCATCCACCCAGAGCTTCCCGGTGCCCAGTGGAAGCCTGACTTCGCAGAAGTCTCCCAATTTTGTCAGGGGCTCGCCAGTGAAGAGTTCACACTGACTTGAAGCAGACACAGACTCTCTGGACGCCTCGGGTCACATCAGATTATTCATTAGCAAATTCTTTCCACCTTCTATTTAGGTAGTGAAAGGTGACGCCAGAATCGCGTGTGCCACTCCTCTAAAGGGACTCTGACAACACCCGGTCCAGGTTCTACAACTTCTGCCTAGGCACTTGCTTCCTAGTAGCAGAAAGTTTCCAAAAGTTGCCTTAAGTCCTCCCTACCCCTAAGCCTAAAGGTCAGAGCGCCAGGTCCCATCAGCGAGCAGGAATCTGAGCATTTTGGAAGTTTCTGGCGTAGGGAGGGGAGAACAGAAGAGGTGGTAGCGGGAGACCGCGCAGAGTGACCCCCGTGCACTGCGTAAGGAAAGCCCTGGCTGCAGAAGGGAGCGAGTCTGACTATGAGACATTCCAGGGGGAGGGTGGGTTGCTGTCCTGGAGTCGCCAGGAACAGCAGCGGCAGTTCCGAGAAGCGAGAGAGGAAGGTGGCCGAGAAAAAGAGAACACTTAGGGAATAAGAATATTAAAAAGCCGCAGGACCCAGAGCATTAGCAAACGGCAGAGCACGTGTAGTAATTTGTTACACGAAACGGCAGTCTTCCAACTTTTGCACTGAAACACTGGGATTTACCCTTTGGGGAATCAAAAACGTTGATACGCAAAGCCAAAAGCTAATGAATGGGATTCCGTGGTTTGCTGGCAATATTTAAATATTTCTGTCCAGGAGCGCAAACTCTCTGCAGTTATTTAGAAGAGTAGGGAGTTAAACCAAACTGTAATACTTTCACGTGCGTCTCCACTTTCCCCAACCCGAAAAGGAGCTGCCAGAGCGGTACTGTCCCTTTAAGACCTGCTTGCTCTCGGGCTCTACAAAAGGGAGTGACCTCTGGGCTTTGACAGCTCCCCTAATAACTACCACCGCGCAGGCCCCGCCCACCTGGCGACCAGCCGCGCCGATTGGCCGGCGGGCCGGTATCCCGCACTCTGATTGGCCCGTCGCTTCCCCTGAGCGAACCTTTAGAACTCTGAGACAGACAATATTCTGTTACATTGTAGCAAAATGGCGACTGTCATTCACAACCCCCTGAAAGCGTAAGTAAGACTAAAAAATGTACATATTCCGCGTGGTTTCAATATGAAAAAAAAGGCGCCTTTTGCGTGGCGAGCGCTGCCAGTGCATCGCGCTTGCAGGCGCCTCCAGCCGCGGCGGGGCTTCTCTCTTCTTTCAGCTCTTACTTCTTCATCTTCTTTTTTTTCTCCCAAAGCGCAGAAACGTCAGGAGATGCAATTAACAAGAAGAAAATTGTTACATTTTTGTTCCGCTAAATTGCAGAGTGAGAGAGAGCGAGAGCGAGGGGTGGCCGGCGGAGGAGCCCGGCGCTCGAGCGCTCTACAGCGGGGGGTCGCGGCAGCTCGGGGACTGCGCGGTCCCCGGAGTCCCCCACCTCGCGGGCAGCGAGCGGGGCTCCCGGGGCGGCCGGGCAGGGGGCGAGCGCCAGGCAGGGGCCGCCTCGGTGCACTTGGCCGAGCCCCGCGCCCCCGAGCCCGCGGCCCCCGCCCCGCCGCTAGGTCGGCGGGGTCCAGCGGACGGACCGCGGCGGCTCCGGAGTTTGCAGGGCGCTCTCCGCCTTCCGATCGCTCTCGGGGAGTTTGTGCAAACCTTCCGGAGTTGGGAGCACCGCAGGGGAAGCGGTGGGTCCGGGACTGGCTGGGGATCAGGTGGTCGCCCCGGGCTTTCCCCGGCAGCCCCCGGATCTTGGAGGCGCTCAGGGCGATCGCGCGTGTGTCTGCGTGTGTTTGCGAGCGAGCTGGCTGTAGTGGATTAACGACTCGGGTTAACTTGCGGCGGATTTGGAGGCAGGGAAGCCGCAGGTCTTATGAATGGTGTTCTCGCCACCTCTGGGTGAGGCACCGAGGCGGGCAGAGAGGTGGTTTGGGGCTCCTGGCCCAGGGGCAGCGTCTGCTCCCGGCTGGGAGAGGGGCAGGTGCCTCTGGCCGCCTCGGGGAGACTTTGAGCGCTTGCCCAGATCCTGGACAGAGCGGGGCGGGCCGGCCGAGGACTCGCGGGGGCCAGCCGCTGGTCCAACAGCCAGTTTCTGCCTGCCCGCCTTCCTCCTCCTTTTCATCCTGGCTTCCTTCCTTCCTTTCTTCCAGTCGGTGGAACTGTTAAGCCGCCAAGTCCGCTCGCGATCGCGGAGCCAGGGGTGGCCTCGGAAAACTAGTGTCGCTCTGAAAGGGGTGCTATTGGGTGCTGTCGGCAGAGGGTGGCTCCCTCCGTATCCGAGGTGGGCTCGGGGTCCGCGCCCCTTCGACCAGGACTTCCCCGCCCGGATGAAGCCGAAGGCGAAGAGGGGGGGAGAGGGAGGTGCGGGCCGGGTTGGGGGAGATTTGTGCCGAATTCTCGCTGGTGAGGAGCCACTGTCGACACTGGTTCCTTTAATTCAGCGCATCCACGTCCTTACCCCTGGCTACTACTGGAGTTGAAAACCAGGTTCGCTCTGGGGGGCGGTAGGGGGGGGTTCTAACGCAATGGAATGCACAGGGAGAATCCGACGTGTTTGCACCAGCTCATCGCCCACTAGAAATAAGGAAAGGGGTAGGAATGCCCCAGAATTCAAATATATTTATATGAAAGCTGACGTTAAGAGGACGTTGGAAGCTGAGGCTGATCAGGTAGGAGCTCCTGGCTTCAGTTCTGGCTTGGAAGCTCGGATACACTGCACTTGAACGCCACAGCGTTTCACCCAAGAAAGAAAATGTTTTATGGCAGAATAAATGGGCGTAACTTCGCCGCATCCTCGCTCCCGGTTGCTTTTGCTGCAACACCGCTGATGCTGTTTCTACCGAACCCACAACTGATTTGCAGTTTCCCCATTTCCAACCGAAATCATATAACCAGGCTGATGCCATCTGGTAAACTCAAGTTAGAGAATCTATTTCACATGTGCACCAGGTTTGTTTCCTACTGGGGAAGCCGTACCCTAGTTACCCGGGAGCCCGCTTTCGCGCGGGCGGGAGCAGTATCCCTTAGCTTCAGGGTTTTCCTGCTAGCTCCAGGGTTTTTTTTGGATCACAGCAGGGTGCGTGTTTGGGGAGGGAGTCTGTGTAGGGTGAGGTTAAGGGTTGGGGAAGGGACAGACGCGGTAAAGAGGGTGGCGGAATCCCGGCTGCTTAGTGGAATTAGTTCCAAATTGTACTTTGTGTAATTAGAAACAGTTGCAGTGTGATATATTTGTAATTGCGTCGCCACACACATACACACATCAGCATACACGCAACGCCCCTGCCTGCTTTTTCTAGGTGGGAGTTGAGTGGTCATTTATAATTAGCCGTTTCTTTCTGCTTCCCAGCCCCTTTCCCTGGGGGTAAAGGGGTGTAAACAATACCCCGGAGCCGCCAAGCCACTCGCACCCTGGACGGTTTTTAACAGCTCCTAACGCGGGATCACACACGTTGTTATTGGGAGACGGACACCATCTGCCTTTATTTTTTTTAAAAAAACAACTTGTTTAATAAAACATCTTATATATTTCATTTGTTTTTAAAAGTTGCTGATCAGGAAACAATACACATGTGAATAAATTATGCATGGGATAAATTAGAACAAAGTACAGAGACACATCAAGCCGAAGGGATGGTGGCGGTGCAGGGAGGAGGGGGAGCGGGGAGAATGGTTTGGAGAGCTATGTTTTTATCCTCATGTGTCCCTCCTGACAATGAAACAGAGCTGAACGACATTAGCATTTTCTCTGTGTGCGTTCTGAGTCTCTCTCTTCCCTCCTAAAAAAAAAAAGCCAACACCACCAACGCCCCCTACAGAAAATGGTCATACAAAGGTTTCCTCAGGATGGGGGTTAAAGTGATGGTAGTTAGTGTGTTGGGAAGAAATAAGCTCAGGTTTCCAGCAGCACCTATGCAGGGCTCTGCCTATACTGAGTCTGGGCTATTTTTCACTGTACTAGCTTTTTCCATGTGGGACATTCAATAATTCACTTAGCTGGGGTGATGGGATGGCACAATTTTGAATCTCATTGCTTTGGGGTTTTCCTTAGGGTCCCAAGCTCCTGAAGCCACATCTCCTCTCTTAGCAATTTGGCTTTCTTCCTGCCGGTCTTTGATCTCCCCTCAACTCCCTTTCTCTTTCTTCCTTGTTGTACCCTTCACCCCCTTCCTCTCTGAAGCTGACAGCCCGGCTTCTCTCTCTGTTGTCGCCTTTAACATCTTATTACTGCCCAACAGGGTGTTAGAGGCAGAAATAGGAGCCGCCTGCACTGATCAGATCACAAAGGGGACACGGCAGGTGGCCCCCACAACCAAGCAGTCACATCTGGACAAATAGAATTCAAAAGCACTGGTGGACATGTATGATGTGTAAATGTGTATTACATGCTATTTAATTTAGCAGCTACATTGTCTGAGGAAAGACGTATGAGAGTTACCCTCATTTCTTACATCTACAAGCAAGATAACGGCCCATGTAGTGAAGTAAACACATGCAGGTAACATAAATATGGATTTGATAAAGGGCTGCATGTAGGTTAGTCACATTCTGGTTGACTTCTCCATACCTGGGAAACATAATGCTTTTATTATTATTATTCTGAGGCAGGGTGACTGGAGAATTTCTAGGTTGGGTGTCACCATCTTGGCTCACTGCAACCTCCGCCTCCCGGGTTCAAGCCATTCTTGTGCCTCGGCCTCCAGAGTAGCTGGGATTACAGGTGCACACCACTACACCTGGCTAGTTTTTGTGTTTTTTTTAGTGGTGTGGAGTTTCTCCATGTTAGCCAGCTGGTCTCAAACTCCTGGCCTCAAGTGATCTGCTAACCTTAGCTTCCCAAAGTGCTGAGATTACAGTCATGAGCCACCGGGTCTGGCCACGTAATGCTTTTAATATAAATTTGAATCTTAATATTTTATTCAGATAAGCCACTTTTCCCCAAATATGCAATCAGTCCTTTAAACAACTTACTCTTGTATTAAGTTATCAAAATGCTGGTTGCTATGCATTTAACTGAGAATGTCTGCCACCTTCTGCCAGACTTGATTATACACATATGTATCTATCATTGTAACTGGCTACTTAGAAACAAAATAACTATTATTATTATTAAATTCCAGGTAAGCCAACAGGGCTTTACCATAAGTAATTATTTATAAAGAGACTAGTAAACTATTTTGTCATGCTTATAGCTGGGAACACACACATATATGTAATTGTATTAAAACTTTCTTTTGTAAGCAGTTAACCTTGCTTGAGGTAAATGTTTATATCCCTGTTTTGTTATTAAGAACACAACTCTGGGAGAAGAAAACAAACGTACTTAGCCAAGTCAAACAGCAGGTCATGTGTGTAGATGAACCTCAAATCTGGATTTCTTTGTACATTCCATGATCTGTATTAGTGTATTCTAATCTAAAGTGGTTTTGTGCACGTGAAAGTTAGAAGCCAGACCTCACTCTTGCTGTGGCACTCAGTTTAGATATCAGAGGGAAGGGGTGGGGGTCACATTCCTGGTTCTAATCTCCTCTTAGCCCTTTCTGGTGGGGTTGGGGGATGTGGGTAGGTACTAAGTAGACAGCATGGAGGCCGGGACTTTGTGAACTTGCTGCCTTTTATGGACATTGCTTTAGCCTCTTATGAAAAAGGACCCTCAAACGTTGTAAGCCAACAGATTCCCAAGAACCTGTTCTCCATCTGCTTCTGCTTGCCACTGTAAAAAAGCCCTAAATTCTCCAAACTTCATTAGCACGCATTATTTTTTCAGTGGGATAAATGTCTGCTTTTGATGAGGCACCTATGATGGAGATTAATGTCTACGAGAATGCAAGTGGAGGCATTGTCGCAGGGTAAACCTCTGGAAATAGCCTGGCCTGCAGGCCTCCTGGGAGACTTCGGAGACTGCGGGTTGAATGGGAGCTGCTCAGTCCCTTAAGGTGGGCTTGAATTCAGAGACAACTGAGTTGGAGACTCCTCATCCGCCTCTTTTTGGAATCATGCAGGTAGCTGGAATTTGGATACATCTGAAAAAGACCACAATGTCTAAAGCTGTTTCAGAGCCATCTGTTCAGATCAGTGCAAAAAATAAAATGCCATGGTCAGCATGTTTTGTTTTGAGCATGCACTGGAAAAAGAATGGAAACTGAGGCTGATGTTTCGGTTTTCTAAGGCAGCTACGCTGCCAGCAGTGGCCATGGGGGCTGGGTCATAAAAAGGCACCAGCATCCAGGCCTGTTTATTATCCCAACCTCTGCCAAGTAACTTTTGTGGTTTTTGAGTGTTTTGAAAGTCACTAGAAAACAGGAATGTAGCCAAATGTGGCAAACCTCTGGCCAAAAACATCCCACAACCACTGAAATATTTTTTGCCCAGCCACGACCCAACAGGGGTGTTATATAAGCCCTAATTTTAAATGGTCTTTAAATACGAGGGCATTTAACAAGAAAAGATAGAGAGTGGCCTAGGGTAGGGGAGGACGGAGGAGTGGATAAAACCACTATGTGGTCTGGAACTCTGCAAAGATTATTGTTGAACTGCAAGAGAGACTGCCTAGTATGATCCATTGCAAATTCCAAAGTTTTCTAGTTGTTTGAGTGACTGGGGAGAGATGAGGTGTTGCAGTGTTTTTGTAATTTGTTTTTCTTATTGGTCCGGTTACTGGTGTTTCACAGTCTGTCAAATCATATGGATGAATGGAGCTAGCATCATAAAACTGTCACTGAGGGAAGGTTTTTGAAGCCTGTGATTTGCATTAGAGTTTTAAAAGCAGTGGTTAGGAGGTGTTGGTGGGGCGGGGGGAAGAGGAGCAGACTGGAGAATTTCTAGGTTGTGTGTTTGTGAATATTAGTGTGGCAGACAGTGGCAAGGGAAGGGAGAGAATCCCTGAGGATGCTAAAATTTAGGGGCAATGTGTGGAAACAGGGAGGGGTGAGGGAATTAGGCTCAGAGCTCCTAATAATGGGGTTCAAATAGCCCACATTGAGTCCTCACCAAGCAGGCCTCAGTTCTGAGCCTATAGAACAATGCTGGCACATGTCTAATCCCCCCTTTGCACCCTCTCCTCCCTCTCTGAATCCAGGGACTGTGGTCATCTCAGGTTGCTGGGAAAAGTTTTTTTTTAGTTGTTATTCACCTTGAAAATCTGCTGTTTGAATTATCTGCAATTGGAAGCTCCACCAGAAAAATTTTCCCATCCTCACACTTTCACTTGCTATTGATGAAACCTGTCTCAACCTCTTTTCCTCTTCCGTGTTCATTTCTCACCAGTGGCTGATTTTTTTTGTAGCCTTAGTGACTTCAGAGTAACGGAGAGAAAAAAGCCCTGGGAGAGGAATCCCAAGCCTTGAGTTCTGCTTCCAGAGCTACAGGCAACTAGCTTGTGATCTCAGACACAGAACATCTTTGAGCGGCATATTCCTTGTCTTTATGATGGTGATGCACTTTGATTCCCAAATTTCTTTTCAAGCCAACAGCTTCCTGGCTCTTATTATGGTGAGTTAGGACAGGGAGGACAGTTAGGGGCCAGAGTTCTGATTTTTTCTTATTTTTAAAGTGTGGCTCTAAAGAGAACTTGTAAGACTGGAGACTTCCACAGTTTCTTTCTCTCTTTTTCTCTCTTTCTCTCTCTCTCTTTCTTACCTTCCTTTTATCTTCCTTCCTTCCTTCCTTCTTTCCTTCCTTCCTTCTTTTTGTTTCTGTCTTAAAAAAAATTTTTTTTTAATGGAGTCTTGCTCTGCTGCCAGGCTGGAGTGCTGTGGCGCAATCTCAGCTCACTGCAACCTCTGCTTCCTGGGTTCAAGTGATTCTCATACCTCAGCCTCCCAAGTAGCTGGGATTACAGGCACACACCACCACACCCAGGTAATTTTTTATATGTTTAAAGTAGCGTATACATAACATACAACACACCATTTTAGCCATTTTAAAGTGTGCAGTTCAGTGGCATTAAGCACATTCATTTTTTATCTTTAGCAGAGATGGAGGTCTCACTATATTGCTCAGGCTGGTCTTGAAATCCTGGCCCCAAGCAATCCTCCTGCCTCGTGTAACCATTGCCACCATCAGTTTCCAGACCCTTTTCTTTCTTTCTCTCTTTTTTTTTTGAGACAGAGTTTTGCTTTTTGCTCAGGCTGGAGTACAGTGATGCCATCTCAGCTCACCGCAACCTCTGCCTCCCTAGTTCAGCAATTCTCCTGCCTCAGCCTCCTGAGTAGCTGGGATTACAGGAATGTGCCACCATGCCCAGCTAATTTTGTATTTTTAGTAGGGATGGGGTTTCATCATGTTGGCCAGACTGGTCTCGAACTTCCGACCTCAGGTGATCTATCCTCCTTGGCCTCCCAGAGTGCTGGGATTACAGACATGAGCTACTGCATCCAGCCTCCTTTTTTTTTTTTTTTCCTATGGAGTCTCGGTTTGTCACCTAGGCTTGAGTGCAGTGATGCGATTTTGGCTCACTGCAACCTCCGCCTCCCAGATTCAAGCTATTCTCTTGTCTCAGTCTTCCGAGTAGCTGGGACTACAGGCATGCCCCATCATGCCCAGCTAATTTTTGTGTTTTTAGTAGATGGGGTTTTACCATGTTGGCCAGGCTGGTCTTGAACTCCTGACCTCAGGTGATTCACCCTCCTCAGCCTCCCAAAGTGCTGGGATTACAGGCATGAGCCACGGCTCCCAGCTGCCCAGATCCTGTTCATCATCCCAGAGAGAAACTTTATATCCTTGAAAGTATACTGTTCCATCTCCTGCTTCCTCCCGTCTCTGGGAACCACCATTCTGCATTCTTAGCATCCCATGTAAGGGAATCATACAGTATTTGTTCTTCTGTGTCTGGCTTATTTCACTTAGCATAATGTCTTCAATGTTTGTTTATCTGTGTTGTAGCATAGTCAGAACTTTATTCCTTTCTATGGCCATTGAATGGATAGAGCACATTTTGTTTACCGATATACCTGTTGATGAACATTTGGGTGTTTACCTTTTGGCTGTTGTGAATAATGCTGCCAGGAACATTGGCATACAATTATCTGAGTCCCCATTTTCATTTCTCTCAGGTTTTTGCTATGCCTAGGTCTCCTTCATATTTGGACTATAAAATCTAGGGACTAGGCCAGGCTCATGCCTGTAATCCTAGCACGTTGGGAGGCTGAGTCAGGAGGATCCCTGAGCTCAGGAGTTCTAAACCAGCCTGGGCAATATTGTAAGACCCAGTCTCTACAAAAAATTAAAAAAAAAAAAAAATAGCCGGGTGTGGTGGTGCACACCTGTGGTCCCAGCTACTCAGGAGGCTGAGGCAGGAAGATGGCCTGAGTTGAGGAGGTTGAGGCTGCAATGAGATGTGATCACACCACTGCACTCCTGCTTGGGTAACCGAGCAAGACCCTATCTTAAAAAAAAAAGGGGGGGGGGCTAAGTTTCTAGATAATACAAACATTCTCCACCATATAAACTAAACAAAGAAAAAACCCAAACTTAATAGTGTTACAGAACTCAACCTCTCTGCCTCTCCTTCCACTGGCATTCCATTGTTTTTTGGGATAAATGTATTGGGAACTGGGAACCCAGAGACTCATACTTCTCCCATTCCCAGCCTTCCCCTCACATCCACCTTTTCTGGAAGGCAGGGACTCATGATTGGGGGTTCAGGGTTTGGTTTGAGGTAGTTCCAGGGGCTGTAGCACTAGCAGTTACCTGGTGAGACTTGGAGTGAAGGCTCCCTAGGTGGATGGAGGTGTGACATCTGACAACAGGAGGTGGGTGGAAGCATGGTGATGGCAGGCTAGCTTGGGGGCAGGAGTTAGCAAGTCAGGCCTGTCCTTCCAAACAGCCAGGAGAGCTCATATCTCCCTCCTCCTCCCTTCCCCTGCCCCCAGCCTGGCTTCCCCCCAGTGGCCCACATGAAATAATGGATGTGGAAATATTTCAGAAGGTAGAAAGTGCAAATGTGAGGTGTTACTATGAGAACTAAAAAGTTTCCTGTAGCTGACCGTGGCCTCCTTGGAGAGTCAATAATACCTACTATATTAAACGTTATTGTAAATATTAAAACAAAAATAAATTTGTTTCTGGCGTTACCCATCACATCTAATCATTGTTTCTCAGGAAATGCAAGGCCTACTCATCCAGCCGTGTGTAAATAGCCCTGGGATTGCAGTGGGATTTTCCCATTGTCTGGGTTTGAAATAAGTGAGAATGTAAGCACAGGGGAAACCCTTATTTCATTTCTGGTCATCAGCCCTGACCTGAGTTCACCCACCAAACCAGAGGAAGCAGAAGCATGGTGGGAAGAGCAGGGCACTCTTCTGGGAACTTGGGTTTTGGGTCCTCTCCGGGTCTCTGGCTCCTCCTTCAACTGAGAGGACTGAGAGAGGGAGAAGTGGAAGCAGGGTGGGGGCTTAGATCCGCTTGTGAATAAGGAGGGTGAGCTGTTGGTATTGGCGGTCAGTGGCAAAAATGGGTTCTTTTTCTTTTTTTTTGAGACAGAGTCTTGCTCTGACATTCAGGCTGGAGTGCCGTGGCGTGATCTTGGCTCACTGCAACCTCCACCTCCCAGGTTCAGGCGATTCTTGTGCTTCAGCCACAGGAGTAGCTGAGATTAAAGGCGCGTGCCACCCACCCAAATAATTTTTGTATTTTTAGTAGAGATGGGGATTCACCATGTTGGCCAGGCTGGTCTTGAACTTCTGGCCTCAAGTGATCTACCCACCTGAGCCTCCCAGAGTGCTGGGATTATGGGCATGAGCCACTGCACCTGGCTAGATTCTTTATAGAAAAGTAGACCAGACAGCATTGCGGTAGGGGTCAGATCTCAGAGTTACACACTTCTTGGTTGCTAGCTTCGGAAATGGTTCTGATTCAGTCTTGCTGCAAAGCTACAACTTTTTTTTCTTTTCTCGTTTATATTTTTTAGAGATAGGGTCTCACTCTGTCACCCAGGCTGGAGTGCAGTGGTGTGACCACAGTTCACTGTGGCCTCAAATTCCTTGGCTCAAGTGACCTCCCACCTCACCTTCCCAAGTAGCTGGGACTACAGGCATGTACTGCCACACCTAATTTCTAAATTGTTTATAGAGATGGGGGCCTCACTGTACTGCCCAGGCTGGTCTTGAACTTCTGGCTTGAAGCGATCCTCTCATTTGAGCCTCCCCAAATGCTGGGATTACAGGTGCAAACCACTGCACTTGGCCCTGCAACTTTCCTTTACAAGAGCAAATTAAGCAAAAAACGTCATCCCTACTCCTACTGTCTGCAACAGCAACTCTCACACATGTTCGGCCGCCAGTTGAGCATGGTAAGAACTGTCTCATCCTCTTTGGAGTTCCTTCATCCTGTAACCAACACGGATTGCCTGCCTGCCCCTGAGAACGAATCAGCATAGTCGTCTGCCTCCCTCCCTACACAGAGGAGCTTCCACTCCAACAGAGACTTCTGATCTGTCTCTTTCTTCTAGACCCTTGTTTTTTGGCAGGGCAAAGTAAGCGCTAGCAAACCAGGAGGCTGACTGCTGCCCCCGGCTTTTCCTAGGAAAACCATATAGGCGAGGGGAGTGGGGAGAGGGGAGGCAATGTGGTGCTGGTGATGTGGGGAGGGCAGGGTGGATGGGGCAGTGGGAGTGGAGAGAATATATTCTCTCCTGCTAATTACTTTCCCTGAGGACTTAGCCAGTGCAGAACCATCTATTATCGTGGGAGCGCTCTATGGTGGTTCTGCCTGTGATGAATGCTAAGTGGAAACAAGCAAGAAGAATTAACAGGCGGCTGCTTCTGTCCACCTAATTAAAATGCATATCCAAATGCATAATTCCTTATGTTTCCCCATGCACACACTCCCCTTCCAATCCCAGTTCTATGGACGAGAAAAAAAAAACACTTTCCCCCAATCATTTCTCTTGATTATATTTTCATCAAGGAAGAACTGGAGGGAGGCTTTCCCTTAGAATAGAGAAGGGCCTGTTCTTCTAACGCTTCTGAAATAGCTGGCTTTTGACTGAGATTGAGCCCCAAATTTTGGAGCTCTTTTTTGTTTTAAACACAAAAACTAGCTGCAGAAAAAAGGGAGAAGAAAAGAAGCAAAGAAAGAACAAAAAAAGAGAGTTCCCACCATTTCTGCTGACCTTTTAGATTTGTGTGAAAAGTCTGGCATGGATCAGCAATGCCAGTTCTGGAGGTCTTTTCTATCTGCTCTTCCTCTTCATTACTTTCCCTGACCCTGCACTGCCTTCTTTGGTCCCCCAAATCAACATAAGTTTTGTAGAGAGATTTTAGAAGACAAAGACACATCTACCTTTGCAGATCAGGTAGAGAGAAAAAATGCCAAAAGCTTCAGCATCTGGGGACAATATCAGAGGTGCTCACGTCACAGTCACATTGTTTGAGTCGAACAATACCTCTTCATCCTTATTGTCCCCTCACTTCACTTACCCAGCTGATCATTTTCTCTCTCTCCAAAGAATAACTTTATTCAGTGGTCATAAAATAGTTAATAAAACATAAAACTTAAGTCCCTGTGTTCAATTTGCCATCACAGCCGTCTCAGTGGCAGACCCCCTTCCCCTGGCCAGCCCACCCCTTCCTGAAGCCCCTTGCCTGCCTTCCACAGCAGCCCCAGCTGTTGATTTATCAGGGCTGGCTGGCTCAGCAGTGCATGGAGATTGCTTTTAATTAACTCTCTTCATTTTTCCCAATCTTCAGGGAGCAGCAGCCCTTTAATGATTTTAATATTTTATTTGGATTTATATCCGCCTTATTTGTTGTTTGACTTCGCATTTGTTCTTCCTGAATCGCCTCCAGACTGATATATTTATTTATTTGCCCCTTTTCCTACTACCCCAAAGACCGTTCCAGATAATGGACTGTGGATTCCAAAGAAGGCTGTCTTCCCAGGCTTCCCACTGTCCATCAGTAGACGATCTGGTGTTGGCCTGGGATATAGGCCTGTGATGGTTTGGATTGGAAACTTTGTCTTAGGAAACCCAGTCTCACCTGACTCTTAGCTTAAGGAGTTCCTGAGCTTTGCATTTTTTAAAAAAACAAAAGACAAAAAAACCACAACAACTCTGAATTTTAGAAAGTGAGATCTCTGCCTCTTTCGTGCCTCTGTAAGGGAGTGAGTTGCCTTGGAGAGTTGGTTAAAAACTGCTTCCCCTGTTTCACTGTTAGTAGTAGTTTGAGGCCTGTCATCCTGCTCAAACCCCAGCCTTACGTAGTTCAGTGGGGTTTTTGGAGCTGCAGGAAGATGATGGCTTTAGGGAAGGACTGGGTGTAGGTTCAGTCAAGTCTTCCTGCTGCTTTACGCATCTTTAGGTGTGGCTGGCATCTGCTCAGCAACTGCTTGGAAGAGTAACCATAGGTATGATCTGAAAGAGGAAGTGAAGAGGCACCAATTGCCTTCTCTCCTGGAGGCTGCCTTCTCCTTTAACCCTCAGTTCCCCTTCTCATGCCTACCCCCCAGAGGTGGGAAACACATAACCATCAAAACACCTTCCAGCCAGGTGCAGTGGCTCACACCTGTGATCCTAGCACTTGGTGAGGCTGAGGTGGGCAGGTTGCTTGAGCCCAGGAGTTCAAGCCAGCCTGGACAACATGGCAAAATCCCATCTCTACAAAAAATAGAAAAACTAACTGGGTGTGGTGGTGCACACCGGTAGTCCCAGCTACTTGGGATGCTGAGGTGGGAGGATCACCCGAACTCATGAGGTCGAGGCTGCAGTGAGCCGTGATTGTGCCACTGCACTCCAGCCTGGGCAACAGACCCTGTCTTAAAAAATGAAAAACAAAAAACAAAAAACAACACCTTTCTATCTTTCTCCTTCCAGCCTAGCTTTGGCTGCAAAGTCTACTCCTTACCCCACCAGCCCCAGAGAGGCCTGACAGACAGACTGATGAGGGGGCTAGTTTCAGAACAAGCTTGTCCACAAAATGCCCTTTTTGGCATCTTGGTTTGGTGATGTGTCTTCAGGGTTACTCGTTGCTAGGCAACTGCCAGCTAAAGTTTGAGCCTGATCTGGGGACTGCAGTGAATTGCCCTGGGTGACTTGAATCCACATTTAGGGACTCCAATTTACAATATTGGCTCTAGGAAAGGGTGGCAGATAAGACATTCTTCCATGTGCCTTTATGGAAAGAGTTACTGGTTTTTAAAGTCTAGCCCAGAGCCTGGCACACAGTCAGTACACACAGGTCTATGTTTTGGTGGTGCAAATGGTGATTCCTTCCCATCTTCTTATCCTGGAATGCTTTTCTCATTCCTTTAGCCCTGCCAGTTACTGAGCTGTATGTAGGAGGCAGATAGGGAGAAACTGGCGTCTGTACCTCAGTCTAGTGTGCAGGCTACTCAGACTTGATGTGTGTTTCTTTTTCACTTTTCTTTGGCAATCACAGGCCCTTTCAAGAATCCTATGAACATTGTGGATCATCTCCCCAGAAAAAAATGCATATAGGTATGAACATCTGCCTATGGTTTGATGGGGCTCAGAGACCTGGAAGAACCCATCTTTGGATGCCCTGGAGGCCCATGGGCTCTAGGATAAGAACCTCAGCATGACAGACATGTGTGAACTTGTTAGTCTGAGGGGTGTTCTGTGTTCCTGCCCAGAGAGATAGCTCCTGTCATATGTTCCCCTGGTGTCTCAGCAAACTGCTGTGGCTTCTCAGGACAGGTGGTTTGATTGTCCTCCAGCTCCACCCTGCCTCTGGGTGCACTTGACTCATAGGTGCCTACTCATCTTCCAGGTGGTTTAAGTGGCCCCTCTCCCTGGTGGAGCGCTTGCTGACCCTCAGGTAGAATTGACCACACCTGCCCTGGGCCACGCCTGGTCATGCAGTCCTGAGTGTACTCTTCTCTCTCAGCTACTGAAATAGTTGACTGTAGTTAGTTAGCAGTAAGGGCGTGGAAGGCAGGGGCAGTAGCCACATGTGTCTTTCTTTTCTTTCCTTTTTTTTTTTTTTTGGAGATGAATTCTCTCTCTGTTTCACCCAGGCTGGAGTGCAGTGGTGTGGCTCATTGCAACCCCTGCCTCCTGGGTTCAAGTGATTTTCTTATCTCAGCCTCCTGAGTAGCTGGGACTACAGACACACACCACCATATCCGGCTAATTTTGTATTTTTAGTAGAGATGGGGTTTCACTATACTGACCAGGCTGGTCTTAAATTCCTGACCTCCAGTGATCTACCCACCTTGGCCTCCCAAAGTGCTGGGATTACAGGCATGAGCCACCACGCCCGGCTACATGTGCCTTTCTATTGCTAGGACTTAGCCTAGCAGGCATGTAGGAAACGGGAATAGCTGAAGAAACGAAGCCTGCAGGCAGGCACCCTGCTCTGCAGCCTTTATTTGTTTCTAGCACTTTAGAAAGTTCATATGTTTCTCATTCTCTCCCTTGATAGTAGGAGTTTGAAAAAGGCAAAATTCTTCCCTAAGAGGCTTAAATTTCAGGAGTTGGGAAACAGATACAGGCTTGGCCTTGCTTGCATGTAGGATGTGCATTTATGACACATGGCAGCCTCGCTCATTCTAGCCTCTTGTTTCTTGGTCACTTTATCTAAAAAGCTTGGATTTCCCCCTTCGGTCTTGGGAAGTAAGACCTTTGCTTTGCTTTGCTTTCATTCGGGGGAGTAAGTCACCTCTGGCTTATGGATAGCCACTGACAAATCAGCTCCATTTTTATTCCATCCTCCTCTATGCTTAGCTATGTGTGGGATTTCCTTTACCTTATATACACTGGAAGACTCTTTTTTTGCTTTTGAGTTTTTAAGATAGAGAAGACCAGAAGATGCAAAACGCTGTAATGGTCTCAACTCGAGGCTGGGACCTGGTGAACATCTACTGTCCGCTCCACGGAGCTTTAGCTCAGTTTGAGTTGGCCCTCCTTGGGGACGAAGCCAGAACACTCTTTCCTTCCTTTGCGCCTCTTCAGTGCTTTTTGATCAAGATGCAATTCATGGGGGAAAGAGAAAGATGTAAATAGTGAATGAAGGAAGGGGACAAGGGATCAGAAGGAAACCTAGGCTGTTTTTGGATACATCTTCTTTGAGAGAATGCCTTTTATATACTTTCACAGTATCAAAGCCTAGAGAGAGAATGACTTTCCCTACGACTCAGTGTCCCAATCCAGTATAGCAGATAACTTCATTCAAAAAGGATGAGCTTCATTCATCCTCCCGAAAGGATGTCCTGGGGGCTCACGCGAGGGCCTTTCTCTCTCGTATTGAGAGAGATAAAGATACCAAGCATATCATTGTAACTTTTGTATGTCCTCTTATGGATTTTCCACCCTCCCAATAATTCTGTGTGGGGGCTTTTGGGAAGAGGGTACCCCCATGAAGAAGCCTGAAGGAGGAAGAGGAAGTCCCAAGGTGGAAACGGACTCTCAGAGTCAAGTTTCAATTGAGATCCTGGTCCAGATGACATTCTTCAAACTTGGAAAGCCAGAGAAAATGCTGATGATGTGCAAATATGGGCTGCAGGAACAGAATTGTAGAAAAATACTCGTTAACTCAGAAAGGTCATACTGCACTAGCAACCTACTCACAAAGGTAAGTCTCCCTCAATCCCAGTTCAGGACAGCGGGTGACACAGGGCTGTCCGATTCCTGGTGCTCATTTTCTCTCTGGGCAGCCATCCCAGTACAACAGATACTTAAACATATTCTGTCCTCATTTTATCTAATTACACATGTCTCTGGGGGATGGGAAACAGGTTTGAACCATCCAATTTTAGGTCACTTACGCACAGGGTAGCAGGGATGAACACAAATCTGTAGAGTTCTGTGAGATTTAGGAAGTTCTCATAGTTCTTCGGTCCCGAGCACACAGAGGGGATATTGTTTGTCGTCTCAGGGGCTGAAGATCCTAGCGAGGGTCAGAGGAGAGATGGAGGCTGCCTGGTTTGTGAGTCTGAATTCTGAAACCTTTTTGAGACCTTGCTAGCTCTTTCTATCCTTGGAGTAATAGGATGCTTGTTTTATTATTTTATAATCTGCTGCATGAAGAGGACCCACTACCATCAGTCCCCATCCTGCGGGTCATTTGTTCTCATCCCTTACCCGCTTGGAATGTGTTCAGTTTTCTAAGAAATACAGAACAAAAGGTGCTCCCGCTCCTGACTGATGGAACAGTCTTTCTTACCTGACGTCGCCCTGGGTGTGCTCCTCCTTTGCTACCCAGAGGAACTGGTCTGGATGGTATAAAAGCTCCACGGCATCTCCACCTCTCTCTAAAACCCAGAACTGGCAGCCTTGGGCAGCCCGCTTTCCTGCCATCTCACCTCCAGGCTTTCCTGTAGCTTTTCAAATCCTTGGGAAGAAAAGCCTTTTGCTTTTCTTTTGCTTTCTGCTGCTGATTTCATTTTCTGACTCAGAGTTAAGCCGCCCCAAGGCCCTCAGAGCCTTGAGTTTGCACCTCCAGCCTAGGTTTCCTTCTGATCCCTTGTCCCCTTCCTTCATTCACTATTTACATCTTTCTCCTTTCCCCCATGAATTGCACCTTGATCAAAAAGCACTGAAGAGGCACAAAGGAAGGAAAGAGTGTTCTGGCTTTGTCCCCTAGGAGGGCCAACTCAATCTCATGAATATGGGAGTGGGGCGAGGGAGGAAGGAAAAGGACAAAGCTTACAGGCAGCAGAGCCTGCATTTGTGAGAGAAGCAGCGGCTCACGAGGTTCCACGTGGTGAATAGCTGCACTAAGCGACCATCCCAGGTCACCAGGGGTCCCTGACGAGAGACAGCAGTTCCTGTGGTTGGGATGTCAGGGGATGCTTCAGAGGGCAGCTGAGTTCAGAAGGACAGTGGGATCTGGGTAGGCTCAGGAGGGTGAGGCTAGGGAACTTTAGGCATGAAAGGGAAGTGAACAAAGATGTGAGACGTTGGAGGGATTCCTTCCGGGATGTCCTTCGTGTTTGCGGGAAGGAAGGCCAGATGGGAAGGTCTGCGTGGGGGAGAGCATGCAGATCTGTTTGACTGGTTGGGAGTAGGTGGGGGTGTCGGTGATCAGAAGAGAGAAATGGAAAATCAGCCTGGGCCAGGTTGGTCTGAGCGGAGCCCCATTTGGCAGTCAAGGCCTGGGGAGACTCATACACCTCAGCAGCCAAAAGGGAGGCTCCAGGGGGAGGGTAGGTGGCCATCCTGTGTCCTCCAGCAAGGGGGATCGTCTCTCTCCCATCCTCCCCTTCACTATGGGGTAGATTGGACCCCATCCTTGGTTTCCTTTGTTATGCATTTTGGATACTTTCCAGGGCACCTCCCAGAGCAGGTGGGGTAAGGGAGACACACTGAGGGACCCACACTGGTATGAGCCATCAATCCTGTCAGCTACAGGGCAGCTCTGTCCACCTGCAAGGGTGGATTTGCAATGTTGGATAGAGCCCGCCTGAGCGGTGGACCCAAATGTCTTCTTCCCTTTCTGCACTTTAATCCTCATTCACTTCTTCTTCTTCTTTCTCCATCTTCTTCTCCTTCTTTTTCAACAACAACAACCACCACCAATAAATGGTGTAAGTAAAATATACAAATTCGATCCAAGGAGCAAAATGTAAATGCCAGCCTGTGTAGCTTACAGTGTGGTGCCCTGAGGATTAGTTTCATGATTCAAACAGGGGAGAGTGAGGCTGCAGGTCTCTAAGGCAGTGGGTTTCTTCCTGGGGGGATCGGGGTGGTTTATTCTGATGGCGGTGCTGCCCTGTTCCCACTCAGGCACCCCTGCCACTGGTGCAGCTGTCTACCTGCATGTGCTGGCCACTCCCTCCCAGAAAGGCCCTGAACCGATTAAGCTAGCTCTCATGGGGAGGCTGGGGGTTACACAAGTCCTTGGGGTTACAGAGAATTCCTTGCATGCTTTGTAAGCCTTGTACACTTGAAAGCTCAGACACTTCATGGTGGGGAGCAGGAGGCTGGGGAGCAGTTGCTGTGTCACCCATGGCTTGGGTGCAAGCTCTGGAGCCAGAGAGTTTGGGTTCAAGTCCAAGCCCTGTGACCTTTGGCAGGATTCCTAACCTCTGTACCTGTTTCCTCATCTGTAAAGTAGGACTAATAGTTTCTGCCTTTATAGGGTTGTTGGAAGAATTACAAGTTAATATATGAAAAGTGCTTTGAAGAGTTGGCACACAGTATCCTTTTTTTTTTTGAGACAGAGTCTCACTCTGTCACCAGGTGCCAAGCTGGAGTGCAGTGGCACAATCTTGGCTCACTGCAACCTCTGCCTCCTGGGTTCAAGCAATTCTCCTGCCTCAGCCTCTCCTGAGTAGCTGGAACTTCAGGCGCACACCACCACGACCAGCTAATTTTTGTATTTTTAGTAGAGACGGGGTTTAACCATGTTGGCCAGGATGGTCTCGATCTCTTGATCTTGTGATCCACCCGCCTCGGCCTCCCAAAGTGCTGGGATTACAGGCTTGAGCCACTGCACCCGGCCACAGTATCCTTTTTTTTTGAGATAGGGTCTTGCTCTGTTGCCCAGGCTGGAATGCAGTGGTGCAGTCATGGCTCACTGCAGCCTTGACCTCCCAGGCTCAAGCAGTTTTCCCACCCCAGCTTCCCAAGTAGCTGGGACCACAGGCGTGCGCCACCATGCCCAGTTAATTTTTATATTTATAGTGGTGATATGGTTTGGCTGTGACCTCACCTAAATCTCAACTTGAATTGTATCTCCCAGAATTCTCAGGTGTTGTGGGAGAGTCCCAGAGGGAGGTAACTGAATCACAGGGGCTGATCGTTCCTGTGCTATTCTCATGATAGTGAATAAGTCTCATGAGATCTGATGGGTTTATCAGGGGTTTCTGCTTCTGCTTCTTCGTTTTCTCTTGCTGCCACCATGTGAGAAGTGCCTTTCACCTCCCACCATGATTCTGAGGCCTCCCCAGCCATGTGGAACTGTAAGTCCAAATAAACCTCTTTTTCTTCCTAGTCTCAGGTGTGTCTTTATCAGTTGCATGAAAACGGACTAATATAGTAATTGGTACTGGTAGAGTGGGGCCTTGCTGAAAAGATACCTGAAAATGTGGAAGTGACTTTGGAACTGGGCAACAGGCAGAGATTGGAACAGTTTGAAAGGCTCAGAAGAAGACAGGAAAATGTGGGGAAGTTTGGAACTTCCTAAAGACTTGTTGAATGACTTCGCCCAAAATGCTGATAGTGATATGGATAATAAAATCCAGGCTGAGATAGTCTCAGATGGAGACGAGGAACTTGTTAGGAACTGGAGCAAAGGTGACTCTTGTTAAGTTTTAGCAAAGAGTCTGGCAGCATTTTGCCCCTGCCCTAGAGATTCATGGAACTTTGAACTTGAGAGAGATGACTTAGGTTATCTGGTGGAAGAAAATGTCTTTTTTTTTTTTAAGATGGAGTTTCACTCTGTTGCCCAAGCTGGAGTGCAGTGGTGCGATCTTGGCTCACCACAACCTCTGCTTCCTAGCTTCAAACGATTCTCCTGCCTCAGCCTCCTGAGTAGCTAGGACTATAGGAGGCTGAGGCAGGAGACATGCGCCACCATGCCTGGCTAATATTTTTGTATTTTTAGTAGAGACAGGGTTTCACTATATTGGCCAGGCTGGTCTTGAACTTCTGATTTCATGATCCGCCTGCCTTGGCCTCCCAAAGTGCTGGGATTACAGGTGTGAGCCACTGTGCCCGCCCTGGTGGAAGAAATTTCTAAGCAAAGCATCCAAGATGTGACTTCAGTGCCATTAAAGGAATTCAGTTTTGTAAGGGAAGCAGAGCATAAAAGTTTGGAAAATTTGCAGACTGACTATAAGATAGAAAATAAAAACCCATTTTCTGGGGAAAAATTCAAGCTGCTGCAAAAATTTGCATAAGCAGCAAGAAGCCTATTGTTAATCCCCAAGACCCTGGGGAAAATGTCTCCAGGCCATGTCAGAGACCTTTATGACAGCCCCTCCCATCACAGGCCTGGAGGCCCAGGAGGAAAAAGAGGTTTCGTAGGGTGGGACCAGGGTCTCCATGCTGTGTGCAGCCTAGGGACTTGGTGCTCTGTGTCCCAGATGCTCCAGCTGTGGCTGAAAGGGGCCAACATACAGCTCAGGCTGTGGCTGCAGAGAGTAGAAGCCCCAAGCCCTGGCAGCTTCCATGTAGTGTTGAGCCTGTGGGTACACAGAAGTCAAAACTGAGGTTTGTGAACTTCTGCCTAGATTTCAAAAGACGAATGGAAACACCTGGATGTCCCAGAAAAAGTTTGCTGCAGGGGTGGGGCTCTCATGGAGAACCTCTACTAGGGCAGTGCAGAAGGGAAATGTGGGGTTGGAGCCTCTACACAGAGTCCCTCCTGGGGCACTGCCTAGTGGAGCTGTGAGCAGAGGGCCACCATCCTCCAGACCCCAGAATGGTAGATCCACCAACAGCTTGCACTGTGCACCTAGAAAAGCCACAGGCACTCAATGCAAGCCTGTGAAAGCAGGCGGAAGGAGGCTGTACCCTGCAAAGCCACAGGGGTGGAGCTGCCGAAGACCATGGGAGCCCACTTCTTGCATCAGTGTGACCTGGATGTGAGACCTGGAGTCAAAGGGGATCATTTTGGAGCTCTAAAATTTGACTGCCCCACTGGATTTCAAATTTGCATGGGCCCTGTAACCCCTTTGTTTTGGCCAATTTCTCCCATTTGGAATGACATAATCCCACTGTATCTAGGAAGTAACTAGCTTGCTTTTGATTTTACAGGCTCATAAGCAGAAGGGACTTGCCTTGTCTCAGATGAGACTTTGGACTGTGGACTTTTGGGTTAATGCTGAAATGAGTTAAGACTTTGGGGGATTTTTGGGAAGGCATGATTGGTTTTGAAATGTAAGGACATGAGATTTGGAGAGGCCAGGGGCAGAATGATATGGTTTGGCTGTATCCCCACCTAAATCTCAACTCGAATTGTATTTCCCAGAATTCCCACATGTTGTGGGAGGGACCCAGGGGGAGGTAATTGAATCATGGGGCTAGTCTTGTGATAGTGAATAAGTCTCTCAAGATCTGATGGGTTTATCCGGGGTTTCCGCTTCTGCTTGTTCCCCATTTTCTCTTGTTGCCACCATGTAAGAAGTGCCTTTGACCTCTCACCATGATTCTGAGGCCTCCCCAGCCATGTGGAACTGTAAGTCCAAATAAACCTCTTTCTCTTCCTAGTCTCAGGTATGTCTTTATCAGCAGTGTGAAAATGGACTAATACAAGTAGAGACAGGGTTTTGCCATGTTGCCCAGGTTGATCTTGGACTCCTGGCCTCAAGCCATCTACCTGCCTCAACCTCCCAAAGTGCTGGGATTATAGGCATGAGCCACTACGCCCAGCCTCATTATCCTTTTAATGGATGTTTGCAGTAACCCTGTAAAATAAGTAGACAAGGTGATATTTTCCTCACTTTGGCGTCTTTAAGAAAATGAAATAAGTAGAAGTGCTGGTTTTCTTAGAAGAAAGAAGTTCTAGAAATCTATGGCATTATTATTTTGATCAATTTATTTTTTTTACTCTTAGAACAAATGTGTAGAAGGGTCTTTAAGAAAGATTGATCTATGGCATGCTTTGTCCAGGAGCCCAGCTTATTGTGTACTAGTGAATTGGTGCTGATATTGGGTCCTTCTGAGAAAGAACAAGAATTTCACAGATGTGGAAACACAGCACACAGAGGCGAAGTGTCTCTGTAAGGTGACTGGACTCGGCCCACGATTCCATTCATGGCTGCCTCCTCCAAGGGGAAGGAGACTACTTCTTGCCTAGATAAGCTCTTCCCTTTCCACAACTGGAAGAGGGCTCGGAAGTCCTTTAGACCAAAGGTATTGAGGATTGGGAGTTTGTCCTCCAAGTTTGTCAGGGTGGTAGGAAACAGGCACCTTGCTCATCCATGACCCTCCTGTGCTGGTTGATGTATGTGTGAGTTCCCAGCACATGCTTTTGGTAGGCAGGGATCTGTGCTTGACAAGCTGACATTCCAAACTCCAGATCTCCCAAACACCGGGCCCCTATGTTATTTTTAACTGTCCAAAGTTTTTTCCACGTGGTGTAATTGATGGGACTCAATAGCCGAGTCAGAGAATCTAAACTTCAGTCTGTTTTGCATCCCTTGAATGGGCATGGGTCTGATAACCAAGCAGAAAAACACTCCGTTTTACGAATAACCTGCTCTGAATCTTCCTGCTCACCCTGCTCCCAACTCATCTCTAGGGAAAAAAAACAAGCTCAAAGATAACCTGAGTATGTCTGTTTCTGTGGCTCCATATAGGAGTGGGGACGATGGTTTCTGTCTGTGACCTTCTCTTCCCCACTGAGTTCTGATAGTGAGGGACGAAGTCACATTTTCAGGAGATAACAAGAAGGGCATTGAGGAGGTTGGCACTCTCTCTCTCTCCCAGCCCTCTTTTTCAGGCCCGCATTCCTTAGGAGGTCAGTCACTTTCTCCTGGTCCTTCCTCTGGGGACAGTCCTGGAGAGATGCTCTTATTTGGGAGAGCCTGAGATCTTGTGGCATCCAGTGACCACCATCTGTGTGACCGTCCAGAAGATTTTCAGTGGCCGTGACCAGGAGAAAGTGCACCGTTTCACACTGGCCTGTCATTTGCATTGTGGATTTTTCCAGTGTGTGTCTCACTTTTCTGCTTCATCCATGTCTCCCCAGACCAAAGTGCACTGGGCATTTATGCTGTGTTAGTTGAACACATACAATGTACCAGCTACTGTGGCCCTGGCTACATAATGGTGAGCCAAACCAACACAGATCCTATCTTTGTGAGCTTATGGTCCTCTTGGGAAGACAGATGTTAATCATATAATCACACAAATATATAAGTAAATGTGGGATCTGCATTAGGCTGAAAAGTTCAGTAAGATAGAAGGGTGTAGGAGGGGGATCTGTTCTGGTCTGGTGCACTGAGGGACAGTTTCCTTGAAGAGGAAACATTTCATCCCAGGCAGAGGGAATGGCATGTGCTCAGGTCCTGTGCGTGTTGGGGTATCCACGGAAGGCCACTGTGGCTGCAGCCCTAGAGAGGGATGAGATCATAAGAGAGGTCAGGAAAGGCCCAACTATGCAGGGTTCTGATGGAGAATTTTGAGGATTGCGTATTTTATCCTAAGAGCAGTGAGCAGCCGTGGAAGGATTGAAGTTAGGAAAGTGACTTGATCCAATGCACTGTCTAAAAATTTCCCCTGGACATGGAGAGATTTAGTGATGGACCCAGGAAGGTCGGGATGAACGGGTTTTGGGGAGGCTTGTCTGGGTGAAATTAAAAAAATTAAAATGAGATAGGCGCATAGGCAGGAAGGATAAGGGGTTAGCTGAAGAAGGCTTTGATGATGGCGCATTCCCTTTAACTGCCTCTCTTCTTCCTGTCATTCTGATGGACACTCCCTGCTTGCTCCTGGGAAGTTTTCTATGCTGTGGGTAGATTGTTTTCCTCCCAAGTAGAGTTGAGCAGTTTGCCTCTCTCTGCTGTTCCTTTGGGTTTGTCCTCTGAGGACTACCTACAGGAGGGGCACCTGGGTGACTGATGGAGAGGTAGATTCCTGGGGCTTCCCGCTGGAGCCACTGAATCAAAATCCCTGGGGGTGAGGCCATGCAATCCGATTCTCATGCCCTGGAAAGTTTGAGCACCATTGTTCTTCCGAGCTCTGCATATGCAACCACAAAGGTGATGATGCTTTAAATGTGTGTAGGGTGGTTATAAGGGGACCAAGTGCTTTGGAGACAAGGTGATTTCCTTTAGGCCCCTCAAAAATGCAATTGAGGAGACTAGGGCTCTGGGAACTCGGGCATCCTAGTTGAGACCATTACCATATGATGGAGTTGGTGAGAAGAGAGAGATGTCTGACTCCTAAGCACTCTTTGCTCTTCTTCCTTCCTACCTCTTTTTCCAGTGTGCGAGGTTAAAAAGGCATTGAATCTTACGATGTTCAGAGGTAGTTCCTTTAAAAAAAGATCAGTACCTCTTTGAGGGTTCAAAAGATCCATATCCAGTTAGTACATGAAAGGGTGGAATCAGGTGGGTTTATTGCTGTTATTATCACTTCTTATGGCCAGGTGTGGTGGCTCACACCTGTAATCCCAGCATGTAGGAGGCCGAGTCAGGCATATCGCCTGAGTCCAAGAGTTTAAGATCAGTCTGGGCAACAAGGTGAAACCCTGTCTTCACAAAAAATTACAAAAAAGTAGCCAGGCATGGTGGCAAATACCTGTGGCCCCAGCTACACGGGAGGCTGAAGTGGGAGGAACACTTGAGCCTGGGAGGTGGAGGTTGCAGTGAGCCAAGATTGTGCCACTGCACTCCAGCCTGGGTGATAGAGTGAGAACCTTTCTCAAAAAAACAAAACAAAACATAAAGAAAACCAAACCAAACCAAAACAAAACAAAATACAATCCCCAAACCCAACTTATTGTGGAAGATATCAAGCCTATACGGCAGTAGATAGAATAGTATAAAGAACCCCCAAGTATCCATCCGCCAACTGTAATAGTCACAGGGGGTGGGGCATCTCTTCAATTATTCAGACTTTGCCGCATGATTGAATGAAACGCCGGAGAGGAGAATGGGCAGAGGGAACAGAGAAGCCTTCAGAGTACCCCAGACAGCTATTGGCCAGAGAGAGAAAGTTCTTTTGAACCCTCTGTTCCTCAACAGTTCGGCTCATAGGAGAGCTAGTGCTTGGAATAATAGATCTAGAAACCACCTTAGAGACCCTGGGGGGTCTTCTTCACTATCTAGACACAACACCAGAGGCCTGGCATGGCCTGGGATAGTTCTCAGGCCTCACAGTTAATAAGAAGTGGAGCCAGGCCTGGGATCAGGTTCTCCAGTGCAACTCATCTCCCTTACTCGTCATAGATGTGCTCAACATTTTTTGCTCACATTTTCCAGCATTGAATCTTACAATGTTCAGAGGTAGTTCCTTTAAAAAACGATCAGTACTTTTTGAGGACTCAAAATATCCATATCCAGTTAGTACATGAAAGGGTGGAATCCGGTGGGTTTATTGCTGTTATTATCACTTCTTATGGCCAGGTGTGGTGGTTCACACCTGTAGTCCCAGCACGTGGGAGGCTGAGTCAGGCATATCGCTTTGAGTTCAGGAGCTGTAGCGAAGCTGTAGGAGGCAGAACTCCTATAAAAAACTGTTATACCTGTAATCCTAGTACTTTGGGAGGCTGAGGCAGGAGGATTGTCCAGGAGTTTGGGAACAACCTGGTCAACACAGTGAGACCGTCTCTATAAAAACTATTTTATTAAAAATAAAAGCTGTCCTTTTAAAATACCAGTATTTGGGCACCTAGGCCTTTGTTTCCTCCTTGTAAGACCCTTGAGGTAGCCTGAAGAGTTCATGGTTTGGCTAGAAAAGAACACACTTACAAAATGAGTACTAGCGGGCCGGGCGCAGTGGCTAATCCTAGCACTTCGGGAGGTCGAGTGGGGGCGGATCATGAGGTTAGGAGTTTGAGACTACCCTGACCAACATGGTGACACCCTGTCTCTACTAAAAATACAAAAAAATTTAGCCAGGTTTGGTGCATGCCTGTCTACAATCCCAGCTACTCAGGAGGCTGAGGCAGGTGAATCGTTAGAAGCCAGGAGGCAGAAGTTGCAGTGAGTTGAGATCACGCCACTGCAATTCAGCCTGGGCAACAAAGCAAAATTCCCTCTCAAAAAAAAAAAAAAAAAAAAAGAAAATGAACACCAGTGGAGGCAAGATGGGCTACATGCCCAATCTCCCACCGCTTTGCCTTCCCTAAAATTCTGGAGGCTCTAAGACGGCCTATGACACAATCATGGTTGAGGCAATGAGTGACATGAAATTTCGGGGAAAGAAGAAATCAATTTCACTGGCCAACTTTTTGATGGAGACAGGGCTTAAGGGGGTCTTACTGCTGGCAGAGGTTAGAAAGCTGATGAGAGGGGATCCTTACCTCTGGGAAAGGGAAACCAATCTCTCAGCACAGCACACCAACTAGAAATTGTTTAGCACCTCCTAAAGTGGAAGGCTCTGTACTTCACACCGTGGAATATTAAGAAGTCAAGGCTACAATTTCTATTCTCCAGGAACTTTCTGTCTCTTTGAGGGACAAGACATATATGGAATGCTAATAGAAGTTGAAAACTATAAGACTTTAAGATGGAAGTTGACTTTTCAGATAAGCCCGAGGAGGAATGCAGTGGAAACCAAGAGACGAATCACAAATCGGAACATAGGAGCAATATTAATGGCTTCGTGTCCGGTGTCTTCTGTGTGTGTGGCCACGTGCTGGCTGCTGCAATAACTGCGTCATTACACAGCAGCCCTTTAAAGTGATGATCGTTCTCGTTCTAGCTACCGTCGGGTGACCACTGATACTTTGCTCAGCAATCTGTGCCGTATGCTTTACATACACGAACTCATTTAATCACCCTAACGCCCCTAGGAGGCAGGTAGTATTAACTTTTTTGCTCCAAGGAGTTTAAGCAACTTACCCAAGACTCCATGGCTGGTAGCGATGGAGCAGAGGTGGGGACCTGAGCCTGAGCAATCCAATAGGGTTGGGTTCAGAAAGGAGCAGTGAGTACACCAGCCAGGCCATTGGGAGAGAGAAGTTGGACCAGTCATGAAGGACCTGGTTATAAATACCTGGGTGAAAAGTTTGGCACTGATCCTGCAGGTGCTGGGCAGTTACTTAAGGTCTGGCAGGCTGGATGTTGAGGGTGATGAATTTGCAGAATGGCTTGTGCGGGGAGGCTGTGGTGGGAACATGGACTGAGGGGACCGTGGTCTATGGAAGGGGTGGTGGTGGGAATGTGCCTGGTGAAACCAAGTAATGAAAACCCTCACAGTCCATCAAACTAAATTAAAATCAAATCAACAAACTGGCAAGCCCATCTCATACAAAGTGGAGGTAGAGCTTCCACATCACTACCAGGGCATTAGTGCTGCTTTTTTTTTAAAATCTTTTTTTGAGACGAAGTGTCACTCTGTCACTCAGGCTGGAGTGCAGTGGTGTGATCTCGGCTCACTGCAGCCTTTGCTTCCTGGGTTCAAGCAATTATCCTGTCTCAACCTCCCGAGTAGCTGGGACTACAGGTGCCTCCCACCACACCTGGCTAACTTTTGTATTTTTAGTAGAGATGGGGCTTCACCATATTGGCCAGGTTGGTCTTGAACTCCTGACCTTGTGATCCATCTGCCTTGGCCTCCTGAAGTTTTAGGATTATAGGCCTGAGCCACCATGCCCAGCCTCTTTTTTAAATTTTAATTCTTTTTTGAGACTGAGCCTCGCTCTGTCACCTAGGCTGGCGTGCAGTGGTGCCATCTCAGCTCACTGCAACCTCGGCCTTCTGGGCTCAAGTGATTCTCCTGCCTCAGCCTTCTAAGTAGCTGGGATTACAGGCACACACTACTACACCCAGATAAATTTTGTGATTTTTGTAGAGACAGAGTTTCACCATGTTGGCCAGGTTGGTCTCAAACTGCTGACCTCAAGTGATCCGCCCACCTCGGCCTCCTAAAGTGCTGGGATTACAGGCGTGAGCCACTGCTCCTGGCCTAGTGCTGCTGTCAGTCCAGTGGCAGGGACATAAAGTGACATCAGTCTGGGAGGCCTGTGAAACAGGCATGTGCTGTGTGCGGATGGCTCCTGACCTCCCTGTGCTTTCAGCCCTCAGCGAGGTCCTTGGTGCTCCATCATAATCTCTTCTCATCCTTTCCATTTCTTCCTATGGCAGAGAATAGTCCAGTGTTTTTTCATTTACCTGAAAACTATTTCCATCTCCCTGTTTTCAGCCTATGATTTCACCCCAGATTTGTTGAAGAAAATCGCAGCCACGAAGCAGAAACTTTGTGGTCGTCCCTGTTCTCTGCCTCATCGTGGCAAGGCCACCTCTTTACCCTTCCTGGACCACCGTGTCTAATATTGTCCCCGCATCACGCTCCCGTGGCTGGTTTTATTTTCTTCACAGTGTACATAATATCAGAGATTCTCTCTATGTATTTGTTTCGCCACCTTTCTTTTGTTTACCTTTCCTCTTGGAATGGAAGTTCCGCGAGAGCACAGACCTTGCCTGTCTTGAGCACTGCAGCGTCCATAGTGTCCAGCAGAGTCAATGCCTGGGACCCGGCATGGGCTTAAAAAGATAAGTGAATGAGTGATTCCCATGGCTCCAGCCAGCACCCATGACTCAACCTCCCTCTCTCCTCCTGACCGTTCTACTGCCTGGATGTCCTCCCTCACACTTCCATCCTGAATGAGTCGAACTTCTTCCCTTAAAGCTGCTTATTCTCCTTGGAGTTTACTGTCATCTAAGCAAAAATATGAGGGTCATCTTTGGTTCCTCCCTCCCCTCATCCTGACTTACACTTGGTTCCCAGTCATATTGGCTTAACCTTGGAATGTCTCTGGACTCTGTTCCTTCCTCTGTTCACCTCCCATTCAGGCCACACTGTGGCTGTGGTGACACTGGCAGGAGCTTCCTTGTTGACTTCCCAGCCTGCAGTGCTTCTCCCCACCAGGCCACTTCCCACAGGAAAGGCATTGCACAGTTCAGTTTCTTTATACCTTTGATGACTCCTACTGACTATAGAATGCAGGCATCCATCCAGCCTTCCATTCCACCACCTCTTGGCAGACTCTGAGCTTGACTCACACCCTTCCATGCACTTCCTACCTCCAAGCCTTTGCTTCTGTGACTTTCGCTGCCAGGACTTCGTCCCCGACCCCCAGGTCTCTACATGATGATGCACTCTTTCAGTGTCTCTGCACACTTCAGGGCCCAAGCCTTCTTTCTAGGCAGAAATAGCTGCCCCCAGTGCTTAATTTCTGCCAGCAGAACATTTGCACAGTGGCGCAGTGACTTCTGATGGGCTGTGTCTATGCCAGCCCCTCCCACCTGCCAGAACTCCTTGAGAGGAGGAATTGAGTCTTAGCTGTTTCTGGTCTGCTGGGCACACAGTAGGTGGCTCAATGCACGCTCAAAACAAATGCACTGGAAAGCAACTTGTTTTCTTACCAGACCACTCTGTATATGTGTGCGGGCAGACATACGTGCCCTTTTCTACACATCAGTTTCTTTTTTGTTTTTTTTTTTTAGAATTTCACATTTCCCAATGAAAGCAACAGGATCATGAAATTAATTTGTCACTCTGGTGCCAGCTTCACTCAGCTGACTCATGGCCTCAGAAGGAGTTTTTAAACATGTGTTTCTCATCTATGTGCTAATTTCTCTTCCCTTTCTCAGTAATCTTCTCTTCTCCTGAAACTTGTGGGTGGTAATTGCCTTCAGGTCGGTGGCACCTGCAACTCCTCCTGAGTCCACTGAGCACACAGATTCCAGCTTTGGGCCAGGGAAGTGAGGAGCTGGTCCTTGACTTGGGAAGGGCAAGAGAAAGTTAAAATGAAATGAGATGTCTTTCTCTTTTGAAATTCATTAGAGCTTATTTGTTTGCTTGTGAAAAGCCTGTAGGAATATTTATATATAAATGGAATAATATATCTTTAAGGGGGTTCTGTAATTTTTCCTCCCTAATGGTGATATAAAAATATTTCCAGGTGTCCTGGGATTAATTCAATTCAACAAATACTTATTGCTTAATTAATCACACTATTCTGGGTGCTAGACATAGAGCAGTGAATTAATCACACTATTCTGGGTGTTAGACATAGAGCAGTGAACAAATGGGTAAAATCCTTGCCTGCATAGAGCTTGCATTCTAGTGGGGGCACCCAGATGATAATGTAACTAAGTAAGGAAGTGAGATGGTGAGAAGTTTATGGGGGTAACTAAAGTGGGGAGTTGGGACCAGGAGTGTTGGGGAGAAGAGCTCCCTGAGCAGCAACATTTGAGGGTCATCTGGGAGAAGAGGATTCAAGTCAGAGGGAACAGCAGGTGCAAAGGTCCAGAGGCGGAGGTGTAGGTGATGATTTGAAGGACAGCAACAGAGGTCTTGTGGCTGGAGCAGAGTGAGAGACAGGAGGAGGAATAGGAGCACTTTGGCTTATCCCTGGAGTTGGGTTTTGCAGCATCACTCTGGCTGCTGAGTTGAGAGTAGATGGAGGAGGCAGTGACTTGGACCACGTGGTAACAGCAAGGGTGGTGAGAGGTGGTTGGATTTTGAGTACATTTTGAAAGTAGAGATGGGATCAAGAAGGAGTTAACAGTAGGATGTGACAACAAGAGAGGCATCCATCTGGCCTGAGCGAGCTGAAGATGAATGGTAGATTGCTGTGATGGGGAGGACTGTGAGGGCAGCAGGTGTGTGTGGGCTCCACTTTGCCTGGAAGGCTTGAGATGCCAATTCGACTTCCAAGTGGAAATGCCCAAGAGCAGGTGCATAGTTGAGAGCATGCAGGGAGGTTAGGGGACTGTTCAGGGGGCCTCGCTGGGACCTGGATGCAAACTGGTTGCTATAAAGGCACAGGGAACTGACTCTGGTTGTCGGCCACTGAGCTCTAATTTTTAAAGCACATTGGGATTCAATTCAAGAAATGTCTATTAGCCCTAATTATATATGACGCATTGTGCTAGGTGATGAGGATATTTCAGAAGAGTAGTGCTGAAGCGGTTTGCCTTCTTGGAGCTTACAGTCTATGGGTGAAAGCATATAATACATACATTTTTGTTAGAACAATGATAAATTCACAAATAATGTAGAACAGAGGCTATATTTTGATGAATGCATTAAAGCCCTATCACACCATTTCCATTATTGTGATAAAAATTGCAGTTTTTCCAAATTTATTCAATCTTTCTCTTTTCTCTTTCTTTCCTTCCTTCTTTCCTTCCCTCCTTTCCTCCCTCCCTCCCTCCCTCCTTTCGTCCCTCCTTTGGTGATTTGGAAGTCCTTGTGCACCAAATGTAGGCTTTATGAGGATTAGCCAAACATGGCTAGATGTTTTCCATGACCAAGCATTCATATAGGAGGTCCCTGGTTGTATTAGCAAGGTATATAAGTTATCCCTGGCAGGCAAGTTTTGCTTTTTAAAACTGCTACAATCATGTATGCTAGTAAAAAAATCCAAATTCATCCTCAAAAGTGGATGAGAAACATATTCAACATATTGAGAGAGAATATACACAACTTAAGGAGAGCTACGGGGGTTTGAACTAGCGGTGAGTACATATAACACTGAGCAAATGAGTTAAATAAGGCAATTATTAATTCTAGGAATACAAGTTATCCAGTGGAGGAAATGTAACTAGAGAATACTACATGTCACAGTTCTGAATAGAGTTTACATAATCATAGTAATAAAAAGAATAATTGCTGAGAAATAAAAATATATATTCACCAGTACACGCACAGAGTGAGCGAGAAAGGGAGGGAGGAAGGAGACAGATAGATGATAGATAGTATGCAGGCAGGCAGACAGATGGAGAATAGGGGGATGGAGAGAAAGGTTGAGTGTGTGTGTGTGTGTGTGTGTGTGTGTGTGTGTGTAGTGAGAACAGATAAAAAAGCACAGCCTACAAAAGGGTAAATCCATTCCTTCCTACCTGGGGAAGCCTAAAACTGAAAAATCAAGAAACAACAGTTAAAAACATGTTATTTAGAGATATGCAGGTAAAGATCACAATCTTCAGTTAAAAGAATTAAGCTGCAGTGGACCACGATTTTGTATAACAAGCCTTATAACAGGAAATTTAAGATGTTAACAAAGGGCCAGGTGTGGTGGCTCATGCCTATAATCCCAGCACTTTGGGAGGCTGAGGTGGGAGGATCACTTGAGCATGGGAGTTCAAGACCAGCCTGGGCAACACAGTGAGACGTTGCCTCTACAAAAAATAAAATGAAACTAGCCAGGCATGGTGGTCTGTGCCTGTAGTCCTAGCTACTTGGGAGGTTGAGGTGGGAGGATCACTTGAGCCTGGGAGGTGGACGTTGTAGTGAGCTATGATGGTGCCACTGCACTCTAGCCTGGGCAGCAGGGTGAGACTCTGTCTCAAAAACAAAAACAAAAGATGTTAATAAAAATAAAAGTGATATTCAAGCAAATGAAAAAAAAATGTGGGGGAGAACTTTGGTCAACATTACAGCAAAGCTTGTACAAATTCTGAATTTGGTCCCAGGTGGGCCTGGCACAGTGAGGTCAGGGTGCCCTTTCCTTTGCTGCTGTTTACTTACATGGTGGGGCTTATACCATTTCTGGTTTATTTGTCTGTGAAATGAGGAACTGGATTGGGGTGAGTAGTTGGGTGGTATTCTAGCTCTTGGCACTAGTTTATGTCTTTCAGGTTTAAATGACCTGGGACTAGATCCCAGGTGATTCAGGGATGTCTTGGAGAATACACCCTGGCCCTAAATCTGGGAGGGTTGGGGAGATGACATTGATAGTGGCTCCTTTACTAGCATGAAAACGATGTGAAGGTGGCAATTTAGTCTTGTGGACTGCTGGGTCCCCAGCATCTGGCTCAGTATTTGATGGGGGAATGAGTGAACTGTGCCCCTCACACCCAGGAGTCAAGCTGTTCTACCTATAGCAAACAGCTGGCTTTGAGCGGAGGTGTGTGGGAGCATTGCTAAGGCCCATCCCCTCTGTCCCCTGGGCCAGGGTGAAGTCAAAGAGGGATGGCCTGGGCACTGGAATGTACAAACAGACATGACACGTGATTCCAGAAGGTTGGGGGAAATGGTGTGGGGGTGGGAGGAAGCTACAGAGAACAAGTGAAGTTAAATTGTGATAGTCAAAGAGGAGAGGAAGCCAAGGGTGGTGGAAATCCCAGGTAGAAAGGCTGCCGGCTGGGAGCTTAGCTTAGCTTTGGGGAAATGTTGCTTCCCTGCTGGCCTTGAAAAGAGTTCCTCTTTTACTGTATAGTATGGAAAATTGCAAACTTATGCAGTGTCATGAACCCTCTTATACCCATTCACCCAAATTGCTCCCACAAATTGGAACTCAGAGCCAGTTTTGTCTCACTTAAAGCCTGCTCCTACTCACTTGCATTAGGGATTATTTTGAAATAAATCTCAGATATCATTTTGTCTAAATATTTCAGTATGTATCTGTAAAAAATAAAGATTCTTTCTAGAAATCTTGTCACAATCTTATTTGAGTTAACAATGATTCCACAGTATTATTAAATATCCAGTTACTGTTGAAATATATCTGTGTGTATATGTACGTGTGTGCATATAGACATACATATACTCCCATACATGGTATCGTTTAGCAGTATTTTAAAAATGCCTTTCTTTTTATAGAAATGACATATATTTGTTACTAAAAATTCAAGCAACACATAAAATAAAAAGATGAGAGCAAAAGTATCACCCCAAATCCACTGGGCGAACATAATTTCAGATACCTCTCCACACATATGTCCACACAGAACAAATAGAAGATGAATATGAATGCTGTCAGAAACACTTTGCTTGTTCAAAAGGAATCTCTGAGTCTTTTAGACCTGAAAGGGCTCCTAAGGCTTGTTAGCTTTTGCATAAGACAGGGCTAGACTGTAAACTCCTGGGGGGAAGGACCATGCCTTAGTTGTGTTTATACATTCTTCCACCCCCTATCTTAGTGCCTGGCACTCAGGCGGCCCATCAGTAACTGTGGTTTGAATTGAAGGGGTCCCTTGTGGGGGGGAACCCCACAAGGGTCATCGCAAGGGTCTGAAGACTTAGCCTGTTCCCATATAAATACTGATTTAGAAAAGAATTAGTGCCAGGCGTGGTGGCTCATGCCTGTAATCCCAGCACTTTGGGAGGCTGAGGCAGGTGAATCACCTGAGGTCGGGAGTTTGAGAGCAGTCTGACCAACATGGTGAAACCCTGTCTCTATTTTTATAAAAAAATAAAAAAAATAAAAAAAAAATAAAAATAAAAAAAAGGAAAAAGAAAAAAAAAAAAGAATTAGAAATGTAGGCACATAGTTATTCCTTTATATAATCATATATAATCTTTTACTCACTTATAATCATAAAGATATATACTCAATATAACCTTTAATTTTACTAATGACTTTTGGGTTATGAAGCATGGAACTGAGGTGACACTGTGAACAAAGTGATCCTAAGGCAAGATGCTTTAAGCCCTCTGTCACGTCCGCATAAGGGCTGCTGGAAGGTGCCTCGGCTGCGCGGCAGTGCCGGTGCTGTGAAAGCGCCTGCTGTTTAGCCAGCTAGGGAAGGAGACATCCAAAATGACCGAAACATCTCCTTCCTGGGGAAGTTAGGAGAAAACTGCTTTTCTAAGCTCTTGTGGCAAGGCCTGCTGGCTGTCAGGTAGGCCCGTAGACATCTGGGGGCTTAACTGTCTCTGTGTGATGCTGTGCTTCAGTGGTCACGTTCCATGTACACTCTCACGCCCTGCTTCTGCACCTGGTTTCTCTTTTTTCTTAAAAGATAAGAATAATAGTAACATAATCTTAGTGTCCTTGATATTTCTGACAAACATGTGAAGAGCGCCGACGCATTAGCTTTTCTCCTTGCCTCGGCTATTTGAAAGGCTTGGCCCCCTGTCTTCAAGAAATGTGATTTCTATCACTGACCACCATTACCTCACCCTACCTTCCCTGCCCACTGCTTTGTACTCAATAAAAGTCAGAGTGTCCAGGCACTCGGGGCCACCGCAGGTCTCCGCGCTTTGGTTGGCCGTGGACCCCCAAGCCCAAACTCTCTTTTCTCTATCTCTGTGTCTGTGTCTTTCATTTCTACAGTTTCTCGTCTTTGTACCAGCAGGGAGGGGCTCACAGAACTCTATGGGGCTGGACCCTCTAGTCCCTAAGACATCATTCAATCATCTGATGGAATAGGATGCCCTACGAGCTGAAATCACTTGTCAAGATCCCACAGCTACTCAGGGTGCCTGTGGGGCTGGAGGCTGTTCTCCTGAGTCCTATTTCCAAGCTCTTTCTGCAGCCCATGGAATTTAGCCATGTAGTAGAGTTGGTAAGTGCACAAGCTTGGAGTGAGACACACCTGGGTTTGTGGTTTTTTTTTTTGAGACTGAGTCTCATTCTGTCACCCAGGCTGGAGTGCGATGGTGCGATCTCAGCTCACTGCAATCTCTGCCTCCCCAGCTCAAGCAATCCTTCCACCTCAGCCTCCTGAGTAGCTGGGACAATAGGTGTGTGCCACCACACCTGGCTAATTTGTTTTGTATTTTTGGTAGAGATGGGGTTTTACCATGTTACCCAGGCTAGTCTTGAATTCCTGTCCTCTAGTGATCTGCCTGGCTGGACCTCTCAAAGTGCTAGGATTATAGGCATGAGCCACCTTGCCCAGCCTACACCTGGGTTTGATTTTGCTCTGAACCTTTTCTATGACTTACCAGCTATGTGGCTTTTCTTACCCACATAATTTCCTTATCCTTGCGACAAGAGATGTTGCAAGGAGTAGATGAGATCGTGCGTAAAGCACTCAGTGCAGGCCGGGCGTGGGGGCTCACACCTGTAATCCCAGCACTTTGGGAGGCCAAGACGAGTGGATCATGAGGTCAAGAGATCATGACCATTCTGGCCAACATGGTAAAACCCCGTCTCTACCAAAAATATAAACAAATTATCCGGATGTGGTGGTGCACGCCTGTAGTCCCAGCTATTCGGGAGGCTGGGGCAGGAGAATCGCTCGAACCTGGGAGGTGGAGGTTGTGGTGAGCCAAAATTGCACCACTGCACTCCAGCCTGGGGACAGAGCAAGACTCCATCTCAAAAAAACAAACAACAACAACAACAAACAAACCAGAATTCATTGCATACTTCCTAGCATGTACTATGTGCCAAATAAATGTTAATTGTAGTCATTATTATTTGTGGTAATAGCAGCAGCAGTAGTAATAGTACCATTATTTTCTTATTCTTTGGGGCTTATCAGTTGAAGCTTAGAGGAAGTTCAAACCCTCCCTCCTCTACCAGTTCCCAGTTGCAGATGGAACCATGTTTAAACTTTTGCTTTTTAAGTAAGTTTTTAATAAGAAGTTTATAACTTTTGCTTTTTCCTACTATTGGGAAGAAAAGGTGATTTTATGTGGGAATTCTTGTCCCCCATAAAATTATTTTTCCTCAGTCAGAAGCTGATTGCGTCAGCTTCTGATTGGCCGTTCACATTTGGTGGTCAAAGTTTGCGTGTCTTCTCTCCATACATGGTTTAGAGGTGCTGCCTTAACAAGAGCTTAGCAAATAGTTATTCTAAGCTCTTCAAACAGAAACTCTGAGCAAAGGGCTGGGTGCAAGACGTCTGGCCTTCCTGGTCGCCCCTTCAGTCTGCTGATTCAGCAGCTCTTCTAGGTGCCTCCTCCAGGCCCTTGGTCGGTCAGGTCACTAATGGAATCTGCTGGAGGCAAATTTACTCATGAAGAAAGGGCCAACAAATCACTCCAGCTCTTGGTGTCTGCCCCTGGATGGCTGGCACTTCCCAGTAAACTCCCAAGTCCTCGGCGCACATTTCACACCTCCCCTGGGGAGGCCCGCCTCCTCTTGTATGGTTACTGAGGGGCACAGGGGCTGCCCCTAACCTCAGCCCCTCTGCACAGAGCTATGGCCTGCACAGGTGAAAAGGCCATCTGTGTGTTGCTGCTGTGTCCTCCTGTGCCTCATGCGTTATTCATACTTCTGGATTTGGGTTGGCTTAACCACTTACTCTAGTCGGGGCTAGGAAAAGGAGGGCAGATGGAGGAGGAAACAGCTATGCTCTTAACCCAGGGCATGGGCTCTTCTTCTCTGATTAAACATGTGCTCTTTTCAAAATATTATCTCCTGTGGGTGGGATCCATGCTCCAGCGGGTCTGTCTAGCCTCCATGCATTCCTGGAATGCGGTTTCCCTCCCTAGATCGGGTTTGGGGGACCTTCACAGAGCAGGCTGGGCAATAGCTTATTTCCAGAAGTGCCAGCACCCCACTTCCTCTTCCTTTTCCCCCCAACCCCTCTCACCTCCCCAAAGGTTCAGGGGAAGGTGTGAGAGGAAAGTGCTTCAAAGTCCATGGAGGCAAGACACAGCAAAACACAGGGAAGTGCCACGGAATGCCAGCGCCAGGAGGCAAAGGGACAGCTAAAAGGTAGGGGGCCCAGCTGCTGGGGGCTGCCTGCCCTGCCGGGCCTGTATACTTGGTGCCTCATGGATCCCTGAGTAAATTGACAGTGTTCTGGCTGGGAGTCCTGCTGGCTGTAATATGGATCTTCAGAGAGGGGGAAAGATGTCCTCCTTCTGTTTTAGAGGAGAAAGATCCAGGGGGAAGGATTTTGTGGGACTGGGGAACCCACCACAGCACCCTGTGATACTCTCGGAAGAGGAGAGTTAGAGTAGTGGAATTAAGGTGGGGCTGTGACTGATAACGTGTCTAGGGTGGAAAGAACAATGGACATCCTCATCCTCCTTCTGTGGTTGGAGTAAGTCCAAAGAAGTTGTGCCCTGCCCAAAGCTATTGCATGAGACAGCTCTGTGAAAGCCCAAAGCACAGGCCAGGCCACAGAAGTGTTTAATGAGGCCACAGTCACTAAACCCTTGTTTCTTTCTTTCTTTACAATTCACCCAGCTTCTTGGTAAGCCGTTGTTGGTCTAGATTCTACAACCTGTTTCCTGACATTTCCAGCCCACTAATAAAATTTGTATCAGAGTACAGGGATTATGATGTGTGGCTCTGCTGATTGCTCATGCCTCAAGCCGTTAAAAGCCCCAGAGGTTTGAGGTCCCAGCTAACAGTACCTTGATGCTAACCTTTCTCCTGTCCTGGTAAGCCAGGGTTGGAAGGGTTGCTTTGGATGGAACGTACATATGGGTTACATACTGGCCCAGTAGGATCCTTTGCCTCCTGCACCATCCCCTGGGCCAGTGAGACTCTGAGGTTGGCTTGGTTAAAAAGTTCCCTATAAAACTAAGCTGCATAGAAGCCGGCTAAGGCCATGGAGAGAACTCCAGGCTGGAATGGAGAAGGCATGGCAAGGTGTTCTAGGTCTCCCACCAGGTGGCTGAACCTTCTAGACACATTCTAGGAAGGTCTTTACAGACCAATATCTCTGGAATACATTTCAATGCACTAAACAGGCCGATGCTTCTTCTACAGACCATGCTGCCATGGGCAGATCACCACTCTGTGCCTCAGTTACGTTTTTTATAAATTGGAGCCACTTGTAATGGCCTACTATCTCCCCAGGAATACAGATGAGATGGCACATGTGAAATTTCTTTTGAAAAGAAGGTATAGCATGGGCTCCATTCCTAGTTCCCTCATTCCTACTGATTTTTAAAAATTGTCAGCACAGTGGCTCACGCTTGTAATCCCAGTGCTTTGGGAGGCCAAAGCAGGTGGATCACGAGATGAAGAGATCGAGACCATCCTGGCCAACATGGTGAAACCTCATCTCTATTAAAAATACAAAAATCAACTGGGCGTGGTGGCACGTGCCTGTAGTCCCAGCTATTCAGGATGCTGAGGCAGGAGAATTGCTTTAACCTGGGAGGCAGAGGTTGCAGTGAGCCGAGATTGTGCTACTCCACTCCAGCCTAGTGACAGAGTAAGATTCCATCTCAAAAAAAAAAACAAACACCAAAATTGTCATGGTCAATAAGCCATTTGAGGTTTCATTTCGTTCGTCTCACAGATAAAAATGTAGACAGGTAAGTGTAGGTCATCCCTGCTTAGTAAATAGGCGTGATCATCACGGGGCCATTCAGTGACAGAGCTGCAAAAGCTGAGCCCTAGGCCTCTCAGTTTGGTGTATCCACCCCTCCTGCCTGTTACTGTTTCATATTCCATATCAAAGTCTCACTCTTTATTTCAAGTCCTATGTAGTCTGGGCTCTGATCATTCAGGGACTGCACAAGTCTTATTAATATTAAAGGTGAGGGTTTTCTTAGCCTACTTCCCTTCATTTCTAAATTAGTCTGGGAAAGGAGAGGGCAAAAGTAGAATCGGAAGTATAACTATGCCCCAAAAGGAATGCATTCTGGTTTGTTGCAAATTTGGGCTCCCTCTGGTGACTTTAAGGATTGTGCTGAATGAAGTGTGGGCAGTAAGTAACTGATTATCTGCAGAACTTCTGTGATGGTTAGAGGGTTTTGATTTCAGGGCCAGGCTGAAATTGACCAATCATCCTGCTGCCTAGCTCTGGCAAACACTAGGCCTTCAAGAGACCCAGGATGTACATTTTCCCTCCTTTCAGATTCCAAGTCACTGATTTGCTGATGACAACTATAGCTATATTCATGAGAAAAACAGCTGTAAGTTAACAATTCTGTAAAATTGGATTTTCTTATCAGCTTATCACTTCAACCTGTTTTTATTTTTTTTCTAATTGCTTTATGACTGGAAAGGGGCCTTTGAGGTCAGGTCCCCAGTTCCTGAGCTTCTAACTGAAATATTCTGTAAACATATACTTAAATGACTGAAGAAGTTGATGGCCCATGAAAAGTTCATTCTTTAAGAGAAGAAAAGTTTTTTTTTTTTGACACAGGGTTTCACTCTACCACCCCGGCTGGAGTAGCGTGCAGTGGTGTGATCTTGGCTTACCATAACCTCTGCCTCCTGGGTTCAAGTGATTCTCCTTCCTCAGCCTCCAGAGTAGCTGGAACTACAGCACTTGCTACCTTGCCTGGTTAATTTTTGTATTTTTTTCTTTTTGGAGATGGAGTCTTGCTCTGTTGCTCGGCTAGAGTACAGTGGAGTGATCTTGGCTCACAGGAACCTTTGCCTCCCAGGTTCAAACGATACTCCTGCCTCAGCCTCCCGAATAGCTGGGACTACAGGTGAGTGCCACAACAACCCAGCTGATTTTTGTATTTTTAGTAGAGACGGGGTTTCACCATGTTGGCCAGGATGGTCTCAATCTCTTGACCTTGTAATCCACCTGGCTTGCCCTCCCAAAGTGCTGAGATTACCGGCATGAGCCACTGTGCCTGGCCAAAAAGATGATTTTAATAACTGAAGAGCTTCCGGTTTATTGGTTGGTTTTGTGAGTTTGTGTGTCCTAGCCTGTCTGGTGTTTCTCAAGTCATCCTTAAAGAAGTCAAGTTAAGGAGCCTGAGTGGCTTCCTGTGTCTTGGAGGTTTGTATGACAGTGTCCTGCCAAATGCAGTTTCAACCTTTTCTTCTGGTAGGTGGGTTTGAAGATATTGTCCTTTCTTGGTATGGTACATTGTAGATGGTGACCTGAGGGTTGACAGTACTTCAGTTAAAGTGTGAAATTTTTTTTGTGTGTAAAAAAGGCAGCAGGCTGGGTGCAGTGGCTCGTGCCTGTTATCCCAGCACTTTGGGAGGCTGAGGTGGGCAGATCATGAGGTCAGGAGTTCAAGACCAGCCTCGCCAACATGGTGAAACCCCGTTTCTACTAAAAATACAAAAATTAGGCGAGCATGGTGGTACATGCCTGTAGTCCCAGCTACTCAGAAGGCTGAAGCAGGAGAAGCGCTTGAACCTGGGAGGCGGAGGTTGTGGTGAGCCAAGATCGCACCATTGCACTCCAGCCTGGGCAACGAGAGCAAGATTCTGTCTTAAAAATAATAATAATAAAGAAAGGCAGCAAGCTATTTCTAAAATCCACTGGTTTACTTTGTGCAGGCATGGGGACAAAATACCACACCTGGGGAAAAATAGATGATCTTAGAGTAACTTTTTCATTTTGTGATTTGAAACATTCAAAAGGCAACATGCTAGCTGTTCTGAAGGTAGTGAGTTATCCCGATGGATTGTTCAGTCAGTTACAGATTGAACTCCTTGTTCTTTCTTTCCCCCTTTCTCACTGTTGCACTTGACTAGTCTTAAAAAAAAAAAGCAACATGCTGATTGTAAACAATGCACAGTACAGAAGAACATAAAACAAGAAAAAGAAAAAAAGAGGTTTCCTTCCTCTGCCCATTCTGTTCCCCAAAGCTAAGGAGTTTTTGTAAATCCTTCCAGAATTTTCTATGCCTAGGCAAGCATGGATATATATATATATGCACCTATATCTACATATAGATACATACGTATCTCTATATATGCAAGGCTATTGCAGAATAGCTGTTGGTAGTTTAATTTCAAAAAATCAGTTTTAGGGGAATTTTCCTTATTTTTTGACCATTGGTAAATTGAGAGAAATCCTATTCAGATTCTTTAGGAAAGTCCTTTCTATAAACACTGAAATGTCTCCAATAAGCCCATAACATTGCATGTGGCATGGGCTCTGTTTAGTGGCCCAAACAGTATGTAGTGTGTGGCAAGAAAGTTACTCTAAATGTTAAAATGCAGGCTAAAAACATTCCATGTAGAAATAAGCGTGTAAGACAATCAACACTGACCATGTGAGTGGGGAAAAAATAGTGGGTTTGACCAGTGACATACAAGTTTTTCAGGAATCTCAGAGCAAAAATTAAAGGTCGAATAAATGTGTAATGTGAGACTGTGTGACGTTTATTGGCAATCATGGTGACAGGCTGTGATCACAGAGTGGGAGCCGTAAAAGTTCTGGGTTGGTCCTCCTAAGATGGAAAGCAGGGCAGTGCCTCTGTTTACACACACCGATCCCACCCCCTCCCCATTTTAGGAAAGGGGATGTGTGTGTGTTGGGGCGAGTTACCAAAACAGACTCAGTGTGGCAAATTGCATCCAGATTTCAATTTTTCCTCCTTCCACAGACTCCCATAGGTTGTTGTGCTAAAGAAGCATTTCTGAGCACAAATCTGGTTGTTGTAACTCTTTCTCTGGTGCCTGGCTTGGTGCACACAGCTGTACTCAGGCTTCCAACCTTGTTTCACTCTGTGGCCTCCTGGGGGATGGAGCAGTGGGAGCCTTGAGGAGCACACCCAAGAGCAGCAGCTTCTGCGCCACGTCTCCCTGCCCAGCTTCCGTAGGTTCATTCTTCTCCTGCAACTTGACTCTCTCTGGAGAACCAGAACTGGGGCTGAAAGCCCGGTGCTCCACTTTCTCTTCTTCAACTTCCTGCCTTCCCTTCAACTACCTGCGGCACCTCTCAGCTTCCGCGTCTCCAAAAGGGATAATGTTCTTGAAAGTGTCTTTTGAGGATTAATTGATGTGAGCTCTATGCTTTGAAGAGAGGCAGAATCCTATCAAGTGGCTCTGCTGTCCTCAAAGTTTGCTCTGGTTCCAGCCGGTGGCAGGCCTGGCCAATTGGGAGGCTGGGCGAGCTGTCACCCCCACTGGCCGCCTGTCTGGGCATATCGGTTGCCTGCTCAGTACCTGGTAGAAGGGCGATTACCCACATGGGGAGGAAGAGATCCTCCAGTGGACATTTTGTACATTGTACATTTTTCACTTGGAGGAGTATCTGCATCAAAATACTTATCCCTCGGGAAGTTACTTTGTGGCCATCTGTGACGTTTTCTCATTTGGAAATTGTTCTTTTCTGTCTTTAAAAAAAAAAGCTTTATCCGTATAGGAGCAAGAGGAGTTATAATCTGCCACCTCTCAAAGAAGTCCCTTTGCCAGGCCATTCATATGTTAATTGCTTGTCGTTTGGGGAGGAAAAGGATGTTACCTGCTTCATGATAAGCATTTTCATCTCAATGAATTCTTTGTTCGAGTTGTTTAATCAAAGAAATGGAAACGGCAACCTACTTACTGGAAAGATCCAGATAGTGCAGTGTGAGTTAAGGACCTGAGGGCTCTATGGAGAAGATGGATAAGAACAAGAAAAAAAAAAAAGGCTTGTTTTAAGGTCAGAGCAAACAGGGATTAAGAAAAATATTAGTCAAAGACATTCTTAGGCTGGAAGGCAAAGTCAGCCAAGCACACTGGGGTCCTTTACAAAGTCCTGGGATGGGCTGATGAGGGACTGAGGACCTAATTCCGATCTCACCAATGGGACATTCAAAGGAGAACCTTCATTTCCTGGCATTCTGTAGCACCTGATCCTCCTAAAGTCTCTCAAGCACTTAGGAACTTGTTTCTCAGCACAGGTCTTTAGAGACCATTGCTCCCCTCTTCTAAGTTACATTCCTGGCTTCTTGAAAAGTTGAAAGATCTGGCAACCCTGAATCTTCATTCCACCAAGACAACCATCAGCAGCTGCTGCCCTTTTAGAAGGGGCAGCGGGACTGATACTTTCTGGTTCTCCAACTGGGGCAAATGTTGACTTCTCACCTGCCTGGGAAGTTAATGAGAAGAAAGAGTGTTAATCTAGAAACGCATGCATGAGTTCACATGTGTACATACATGCACACACACACATGCACACACACACACACATGCACACACACCCCCCACCAGTATTTAGGTCCAGGGGAGATTAGCCTTATTGAGAGGTCACCCCTCAGCAGCTTCAGGGTGTATAATCTGAACCACAGATTTGAGAAGAGTTAATCTTGGGGTGAGGTGAGGAGAATCAGATTGTCGGCACACAATAAAAGAGCTGTTTGTGACCTATGTGTGGAGTGAGGTGTCTCTGGCATGCGCAAGGCATTGGGGCAGCCACATGGATGAGTGCAGTGACTGAACAGAGCAGGGGCGGGGACATCTGGGAGCTGGATAAATATTGTCTAATGATTGCCAGCCCTGGATTTGCTGATGAACTCACATGGAGATCTGGGGGATCTCTAATTTCTCTTTGCCTTTTCTCAGTTTGCTCATCAGCAAAATGGAGGCACTGCAGTGGGCGTGGCAAGCTCAAATGCCCACAGGGGCTAGTCAGGCTTTGTAAGCTGGTAGGAGAAGAATAGGGAGTTGGTGGGAGGTGCGGGTTGGGGACTGTAGTCAACTGGGAAGTTTATGCACTTCCAGGGAGGAGGTTCACATTCAATGCTTGCTGCGTGGGAAGGTGAGCCCAGTGTTCCCCCGGCTCCTATTTTTCTGAGAGAAGTTTGAAATTTGCATTTTGATATGAACTCTAATGACTTTAAACCTAGCTAGTTTTTTTTTAGATGGAGTTTTGCTCTCTTGCCCAGGCTGGAGGGCAGTGGAATGACCTTGGCTCACCGCAACCTTGGCTTCCTGGGTTCAAGTGATTTTCTGTCTCAGCCTTTTAAGTAGCTGGGATTACAGGTGTGTGCCACCATGCCTGGCTAATTTTGTATTTTTTTAGTAGAGACATGGTTTCACCATGTTGGCCAGGCTGGTCTCAAACTCCTGACCTCAGGTGATCCAGCTGCCTTGGCCTCCCAAAGTACTGGGATTTCGGGCATGCACCACATGCCTGGCCTAAACCTAGCTAATTCAGTTTTCGAAAAGCATAGTGCATACCCAGAAAGCAATCCCAGGGGTTGTATTTGGCTCATAGCCCCAGGTTTATGAGCCCTAGGTTTACCCCAACTTCTGGGATAAAGGCTACCCTGCCTAGCTCCTGACTGCATTGCTAAGTCTAGGAAACAGGGAGGGAGTAGTCATTGTGGATAAAGAGTGGCCATGAGGAGGAAGTTAGGGTGAAAGTGGGAGGTGAGATGTGGACCACACCATTACCGGGCCAGACCTGGATCTTGCTGGCTTTAGCAAGGAGAACTGCAGGGCCCGGCAGGAATTATGCACACAGGCAGGCAGGAAGGCAGCCCAGGGGGATGGTGTCCAGGCTGTGGGCGGCAGCAGCGTGGGCAGAAGAGTGCAGAGGTCAGGGAGGCAGCCGGGGCAGCCCAGGGAGCAGGAGAGGGCAAAAGAGAGCTGAGTGGACCCTGGGGCTGAGGCTGTTTGCCCTCTGCTTGAGTCATGTCACCTGGTGGGTGTGTGCACCCCTCATCAACTATGCACAGAGGAGAAGTATCACAGCCACCAGTGGATGCTCCAGGCATGAGACGTCTGTTGAGATAAACACAAAACGTGGGCCAGCCCTTGAAACTTGTAATCATAGTTGGGAATATTGGCCTGTCACACAGGAAGAGAGTGGCAAATTGCTTTTGAAGAGAATACGTTTAGGCTCAAACAACTTGGGTTTGAATTTTACTTTCGTCACTAACAAGCCATGCAGCTAGGGGAAGTTATTTAACTTTTTTGGGGGGCCTGGTTTGTTCTTCTGGGGGTATTAATATTTCCTACCTCGTAGGGTTATTGTGAGAATGGAATGAAAATGAATGCCGTAATGTAAATGAAGTGCTTGGTACAGAGCCTGGCACACAGTAAGTGCTCTAATAGAGCTCAGTATTATTATCAGACAAGCAGTAACCTCGGTTAACTTGTGATTAAGCATGAAATCCATTGTCTCAGCAGAGAACCAGTAACAGATGCAGTAAAAACTTATCCCTTCCCTATTGCAAATACTTCCTTAAACATACTCTCTGGCCTGAACTGTTTCCAGGAAAGCAGGAGACATTGTAGTCATCTGGATAAGGGTCATCTGCACAGCTTGAGCAAATCAGTCTGTTTAGCCCTGGTACTACCTGCTCTACATAATGGTGTTTTCATTCAGCTCACAAATATTTACTGAGCGACTACTATGTTCCAAGCACTGAGGAAAGGTTCTGGAGATGTTGAGTAGAATACGACAAGCTGTGGGACTTTAGGTGCTGAATCCAGCATACAGACTAAGCTGCTATAACAAAGAGGTCCCCAAATAGAATGGCTGTATAGGCCGGGTGGGGTGACTCATGCCTGTAATCTCAGCACTTTGGGAGGCCGGGGGCAGGCGGATCACATGAGGCCAGGAATTTGAGGCCAGCCTGGGCAACATGGTGAAACACTGTCTCTACTAAAAAATACAGAAATTAGCTGGGCATGGTGGTGCGTGCCTGTAATCCCAGCAACTTGGGAAGCTGAGGCAGGAGAATCACTTGAACCTGGAGGTGGAGGTTGCAGTGAGCCAAGATCGTGCCACCGCACCTGCACTCTAGCCTGGGCGACAGAGGGATTCTGTGTCCAAAAAAAAAAAACAAAAACCAAAAAACAAAAAACTCGGTTCGTATGCAAGGTAGGTCCAGAAAGTTATCATTCTGGATCCAGGTTTTTTTTTTTTCTATTTTGTATCTCTTAAGTTTGTGTTTCAGGATGTGGGAAGCAGGAGGTGAAATCCAAGACAAGCAGCTTATCATTAAGGAGTTTCCACTCATATCCCATTGGCTGAAGCTTAGGCTCATGGCCGCACCTGGTTGCAAGGAATGCTGGGAAATGTAGTTTGGAGCAGATGGCCATATGCTTGGGTGAAACTCATGGTGGGAGCTATCGAAAGAAAGAAAGGAGAATGAGGCTGGGCACGGTGGCTCATGCCTATAATCCCAGCACTTTGAGAGGCCGAGGTGGGCGGATCACTTAAGGTCAGGAGTTTAAGACCAGACCAGCCTGGCCAACATGGTGAAACCCCGAATCTACTAAAAATACAAAAATTAGCTGGGTGAGGTGGCGCACGTCTGTAGTCTCACTTACTCGGAAGGCTGAGGCAGGAGAATCGCTTAAACCTGGGAGGCGGAGGTTGCTGCTGATATGGTGCCACTGCACTTCAGCCTGGGCAACAGAGCAAGATTCTGTCTCAAACAACAAACAAAGACAGGAGAATAAATACTAAGGCACGGTTAGCAGATTAAGCTTCAGGGAGATAGAAAAGTAAATCGGCGCTTGTAATACAGTGAGGTAAGTGCTCCTGTCAAGAGCTCTGATGGAATCCATGAATAGAGAAATACGTTGTGGCCCTCATGGAAACTTGGGCTTTGGAATCAGACTTCTGGATTAAAATCCCAGCCCTGTCACTTACCTCTAGTTCCTCCCCTACAGGATTGGTATGAGGATTGAATGACCACACACATGAAGCTCTTACGACACGTTCTGGTCCAGAGGGAATGCTCAGTAAGTGTAAGGTAAGGGTAAGTGTAAGGTAAGGGAAAGATGTGTTCAAGAAAGTCAGCCACCAACTCAGGATATCTGGGAATCACTCCTGGATTTACTACCGCCTCTTCAGTTTTACAGCTTCCCACAGGCCTTGTCTGCATGGATACAAAGTACAGTGTGGAACCCTGAGCGCTGCTTATCACTGAGAAATATGTTAATGAAGATAACACATTAATGAAGATAAACCAGGCCATCTGAATGGGTTGGTGTTTTGAAAAAAAAAATAGAGTCAATTTGTGTTTAACTGGACTGGAACTAGGGAAGGAATTTAGAGAGGATATTCCAAGGTCCTCCTCGGCTTCCTATAGCTTGAGCGGGAGCCAGTGAATTTGGTCATGGTCTATAGGCCTCTGTGGGAAGAGTAAGAGCTCATCTTCTTGGGTGTGTCTCCAGTAAAGGGCTCTGGAAGTCATTTAAAAACTCTGCTACTGGCTGGGTGTGGGACCTCACAATCCCAGCACTTTGGGAGGCCAAGGCAGGTGGCTTTCTTGAGGGCAGGAGTTCCAGACTAGTCTGGCCAACATGACGAAACTCCATCTCTACTAAAAATATAAAAATTAGCTGGGCGTGGTGGCGCATGCCTGTATTTCCAGCTATTGGGAGGCTGACGCAGGAGAATCACTCGAGCATGGGAGGTAGAGGTTGCAGTGAGCCGAGATCGCGCCACTTGTACTCCTGCCTGGGCGACAGAAGAAGACTGTCTCCAAAAATAAATAAATAAATAAAAAATAAATAAACAATAAAATAAAAACTCTGCTACTTAGCTAAATAAAGACGATGGTGGGCAGTGAGGCCTCCTAGGGGAGAATTTTAAGGAAAACCCTGGTGGCCTTTCCAGAGGCCTTTAGGCAAGAAGAGAAAAATGGAAAAATTGCCCTGCTGGGTGCTGTGCTGGCAAGAGTTGGGGTATCCTCTTACAGGGAGCCGGTGTCCTCTGATCTGCAGAGCGTATCACGTTTTCCATCTTCTGCAGGTGTCATGTGAAAAGAGAACCCTTCTCGCTTCAGAACAGGAATCTTAACTTTCCTTGGCAATTCACACAGTGGATAGATTTTAGCAGAAAAAGAAACAGATGTTGGAGATGCATTTCCACCAGCTTTCTGCCCTGTCTCTTCTAGGGTCTGGGAAGCCGTAACACTTTTTACCCCCCAGGTCTTAGAATTGGACATCACACTACTCTGGAAAGTGGCATTGGTACCATGTTGCAATGGGCACCATGATTGACTCCTAGGAAATGGGACGTGGGAGAAGGCAGCACACATTAGAAGATTCCTGGTGTTTAGGGCCTCACCTGTGCCTGTGGCGAGGCCAGCAGGAGTGGGCCAGGAGGTGAGTGTAGACGTGAGGCCTGGAGAGGACTAGCACATGGACAGTAGGCAGCTGATGGAGTTCCTGCCTGCCTTTCGGAACCTCAGCTGACCTCTTGGACTTGACCTCTAGGTGTCACAGAGGTCTACACCTGGCTAGCCTGGGTCTGTTGGTGGCCGTCGTCCAGGGTTTTCATCCACATTTTCTCCCTCTCTGTGTGCCTCCTTTCTTCTCTATCATGGTTTCCCAGCTGGGGCTTTCACTGTTCTTTCCTTACTACTGGACTCAATATTTTGTTCTTTTTCCCTTAAGGAAGGCTTAGGAAGGGGGTTAGGGTGGAGTGGGAGCTGATTTAACTTGGTTTTCCCATTCATGGAGGCTTCTTTTTAGAGACAAGGTCTTACTCTGTCACCTAGGCTGGAGTGCAGTGGCACGATTGTAGCTCAGTACAACCTCCAGTTCCTGGGCTCAAGTGATCCTCAAGTAGCTGAAACTACAGACAGGTGCCACCACGCCTGGCTAATTTTTTGTTTGTTTGTTTGTTTTGAGATGAAGTCTTGCTCTGTTGCCCAGGCTGGAGTGCAGTGGCGTGATCTTGGCTCACTACAACCTCCGCCTCCTTGGTTCAAGCAATTCTCCTGTCTCAGCCTCCTGAGTAGCTGGGATTGTAGGTATGCGCCACCATGCCCAGCTAATTTTTGTATTTTTTGGTTTCACCATGTTGGTCAGGTTGATCTTGATCTCCTGACCTCGTGATCAGCCCTCCTTGGCCTCCCAAAGTGCTGAGATTACAGGCATGAGCCACCACGCCCTGCCCATGACTGGCTAATTTTTAAATTTGTTGTAGAGACTGGGACTCACTATGTTGCCCAGGCTGGTCTTGAACTCCTGGTTGTGATCTTCTGGCCTTGGCCTCCCAACCTACTGGGATTACATGTATAAGCCACCACACCTGGTTTCATGGAAGCTTCTAATGAGAGTTTGATATTATCTTTGTACTAGATTATACATGTAGTCACCAACATGTTCATCACAAAGCATCCAATGCATAGTCTGTGCCTTGACCATGCCATTCCTGGGGCATTCTGAGTCAATACTTAAAAATGCAGAGCCTTTGATTCTCCTGTGATCATAATTATTGTTCATTGTGTATTTGACTTTGTGTGTGTGTGTGTGTGTGTGTGAAAAATGTAAATTTGTTGTGTGAGGATCTATAATGTGCCAAAAATGTTGTAATCCTGCTTTGTATTTCTTCATTTTTTAATAACCTGAACACCTGGGGTTCTTTTACCTCTGAGAGCCCCTGTATTCAAGACCCTGCTAGATCAGTGGTCAGCAATCCTTTTCACATAAAAGGGTGATTCAGGAAAAGAAGAAAACATATTTATGGGGCATTTTTCCCCCTCCAACCAAAATGAGGAGAGCTTTATTGAGTTTCATGACCCAGGGATGGGTGGAGCGTCAAGGAATGCTTAATCCTACAGTTGGCTCTATTGAGCAGATAATATCAGTGAGAAAATGGGCACTGCATTTAGTTTTAATGTCCAGGTGTTTGGAGGCAGTTTTCTAATGTTTCATTCTGAAATTAGATCTCAGGATGCCTGTATGATTCTCATCACTGCATGGGCTAGAACCTGTGATGTGTGGACCTGTGTTTTATACATCTCAGCACCCCTTTTGCCCAACATGGTGCCCAGTGCACAGTAGGGGCATAATAAATGCTTACTAGGAAACAATATGGTGTAATGGTTAAGAGCTCAAAACTGCCTAGCTTTGTTACTTATTAGCTGTGTGACTTTGGGCAAGTTACTTACCCTCTCAGGGTATAAAGTGGGGATTATATCAATCCCAACCGCGTAGATGGAGATGGAATGAGTTAATATATAGAAGCTCATAGAGCAATGTCTAGCATATGCAAACCTTGCATAAGTGTTAGCAGCTATTATAAATATTATTATTGAACAGAATGGAAGCCCAAGTTGGCCTTCGGTGCCAGAGCCTCACAGTGAATCTTTTCCATCTCTGGCTTCCATTTTGTCACCATTGATCAGATCTCTTTAACAGATTTCCATATAAAATAACTATGCCTTTTCTACTCATTCAAAACAAGTTTTTTTAAAGTGAAGAAAAACCCAAAAACCCCAGATGCTTTTCAAGCAGACCTGGACCCAGCTGTAATGGATAGTGTGTTGGCCTCATTACCTGGGGTAGAGGCTGCACATCTAGGTTTTAGAAACGACTCTTTTCCAATGAAAGTGCCAGTTTCTTCTTTCCCTTTCATCTGTTCTTACAGAATACCGTCTCAAAATGCTCAGCTAGTCAGTCCTGGCATTGACAGGGGAGAGTTTCCCGGAATGATACATGCCAAGTAAAATATGGCTCCAAGAGCCTTGTCCACTGGACGGCTTCATCCTTAATCATGTTTGTTTTTGTTCATTGGCTAATTTCTTAAGTTTTAAAAACTGAAGTATAACATACACACCAAAAAGTCCACATATGTTCACCCACCCAAAATTTTCAAGTTGAACTTGCTTGTGTCACCAACCCCCAGAGGAAGAAACATTATACAAGTGTAGCTGTGCCCCTTCTGGGTACTCCAATGTCCCCTACCCCATCCCACCAAGGGTGACTATTCTGATTCTAACCGCCCCGGAATGGAATCTCCGAGCACATACACTTTAGTAGCTGGAATTCCCCCTTAACACTGGGTTTTTGAGACTCACTCAGCGTTAGCTGTGGTTGTAGATCATTCATTCTCAATGCTGTATAGTGCTGTGTTATGTAAATTCGCCATGATTTATTTTCCCATTTTACTTTTGATGAGCACATGATTGTTTTTGGTTTGGGACTTCCGTGAGTAGTGCTGCTGAGAACATGTTGATGCTTGTCTTTTGGATACCTTAAGTATACGCACCTGGCAGGGGAGTTACTGGGTCATGGGGCAGGTGTGTGTTCAGTAGATACTGCTGAATGCTTTTCCAAAGGGGTTCCAATGATCTGCTTGATTCGATTTTGAGAAAGAAAATTGTTCTATAATCAGATTTTGAGTTTTTTTTTTTTTTTTTTTTTCCTAGAGACAGGGTCTTGCTCTGTCACCCAGGCTGGAGTGCAGTGGTATAATCATAGCTCATTGCAGCCTTGACCTTCTGGTCTCAAGCAATCCTCCTGCGTCAGCCTCCTGAATAGCTGGGATTACAGGCGCACCACCACACTCAGCTAATTAAAAAAAAGTATTGTAGAGAGAGAAGTCTCATGATGTTGTCCAGGCTGGTCTCGAACTCCTAGCCTCAAGAGATCTTTCCACCTTGGCCTCCCAAAGTGCTGGGATTATAGGCATAAGCCACTACACCTGGTCTTGATTTGGGTTTTAAAGCAGAGTATCATGACACAAACTCTGTTGGTTTTCCCATGCCTTCTCCCCTTCTCTCACGTGTGTGCGCCATATGATAACCAGGTAAATTCATTCCAGTTTGCTGTAGCTCCTTCTTTTTGGAGAGACTCTTGAAAGTCTTTTAGAACTGCTACCGAAATGGAAGTTTTAAAGTTGTTTTCCTAAAATTGCTCCTTTTTTCTTTTCAAGAATAGCACATATAATCACTATACTCCACGCAAAAGAAGTCCTCCTTCTCTTCCCCAGCCTCAACTTTTTACTGAATGAAAT